TGAGTGCGTTGTAATAGAAATTTCTTTTTTCTCGTTCTAGAGAACGCAGATTTGCAAACCTTTAGAAGGGGTTTTAATTAACCCAAACAATATGAATTGAGAAATTATAAGTCCAGTGACAAAAATTTTGTTGTGAAAAATGTTGCTAAAACAGGTAATAGACAAGGAAGAATCTCTGTAAAAGAATACAAGTTCTATTGAGAGGTTTATTCTTCGATCCGGTTCACCTTCGGACAAACACCTGGAGACAGAGACACATGGACGACGATTGAACTAGCAAATGTACCTTATAATAATCATTTATTTCAGATAATTATAATAATATTATAATCCATAGTTATTAGTAGAAATTAGTAACAATGTCGGGCTTATCCTATGTTAGTAGTATTAGTATCTATATTAATAAATCATTCTTAAATTACCAAATTTTTTTTTTTTTATTTTTTTTTATTTTATTTGGGAAATTTACAGACAAATAACAAAGTATATTAAAACTATGATCAGTCACATGCTAATAATAAATTTCCACATATAACACTTACATAAATTTCTTAACTCACATACAGATAACATATAAAAAATGTCTAACCAATTTTGAGGTAAATGATGTTTTAACCATTAGAGCATTAAAATTACTGATAAACTACATTTCAAAATATTTTCCTGTCAAAATTCGCTTCACCTTTGAACAGCTAGTATAAAACAAGTCAAGGTTATCAGATGTTGCATTGTTGAAGAGTCTAACTGCTCTGATAATAAAAGAATTCTGACGAAACTTAGTTCGAGCAGAAGGTGCATGTAAAATGGGTCGTTGCCTTAATGATAGGTTAGGTTTAAGTAATATTTTAGATAAAAGTTCAGCACAATCAACTGTTCCATTAGCAATTTTAAATAAGTAAATAACATCACTTATGTTTCGTCTAAGTGTCAGTGGTAGAAAGTGATAATGTCTGCAGCGGTGTTCGTAGTCAATTGAATTTATTTTTGCTTTAAAATCTAAGTATTTTAAAAACCTTCCCTGAATAGACTCAATACGAGACTTATAAATTTCATATTGGGGATTCCAAATTTGGCTAGCATATTCGAGGTGACTTCTCACGTACGCACAATATAATATTTTGATGGATTTCAAGTTACGAAAATCAGAAGATGCCCTCATTATAAACCCAAGCATTTTGTTAGCTTTTTTAACTATACTGTCGATGTGTTTGTCAAATAATAATTTATTATCATGTAATACACCTAGGTCATTTATTTGGGTAACAACCGAAATTGGACTTTTGCCAAGAGTATATTTAAAATAAATTATATTTGTTTTACGTGTAAAAGTCATATGAAAGCATTTTGAGACATTTAGGTCTAATTTATTGATAATACAATATTGCTCAAACCTGTTCAAATCTTCTTGAAGGTCTTTGACATCGGACTCGCATGTAATAGCTTTCAAAATTTTTAAGTCATCAGCGAATGAAAGAATTTTGGAATTCAAAAAGCAGTCACTAATGTCGTTAACGAAGATTGTAAATAGAAGTGGTCCTAAAATTGAACCTTGCGGTACGCCAGAAGAGACATGACTCCATTTAGATATGTACCCTTGAACAACAACGGCTTGTCTCCTATTATCAATATATGAACAAAACCAACGATACAAGTCTCCATGAATACCAGCAGCTGCTAATTTATTCATAAGTACGCAGTGGTCAATACGATCAAAACATTTACGATAGTCTGTATAAATAACATCAACTTGAGCCGAGTTATTCATGCCCTCCGTTATGAAGTCATTAGCTAGTATGAGATTAGATGTTGTTGAACGCCCAATTAAAAAGCCGTGCTGTCTATCATTGAAAGTGCATTTGAGTGTAGCATATACTTGGTGGTGCACTATTCTTTCTAAAACCTTGGCGAAAAGACATAGTTTTGAGATGGGACGATAATTTTCCACGTCCGATTTGTCACCTTTTTTATGCACAGGGGTTACGAATGCCGATTTCCAGATCGAGGGAACGATTCCTTCTCTTAATGAGCGATTAAAAAGAACATAAAGAGGAGTAACCAGACTTTCCGCACAGCGTACAATGAATAAGGGGGGGTATGAGATCTGGACCACCAGATTTAGATAAATCAAGCCCTTTAATTAATTTCAGTATTTCCGCTTCCGAAACCTCGATGGAAGCTATGCTACTTGGTCCCAAACTTTCAATATAGGGTGTTAAAGAGGGTTTGTTAGATACCCCAGACAAGAATGTGGAATTAAAGTAGTTTGAGAATAGGTCGCTTATCTCGCCACCAGAGTCCGCCTGAGTGTCTTTAAACTTCATCATATTTGGTATTCCATTAGATTTATTTTTGCTTTTGACATATGACCAAAATGATTTTGGGTTTTCGGCTATATTCGATTCAATCTTGGCAATGTAAGTGTCAAAACAACTTCTTTCTAATCTAACTGCTCTATCACGTAATAGACTAAATGATTGATAGTCAAAGAGATTTCCATACGTCTTATACTTCCTATGAAATTTGGATTTTTCTCTCAATACTTTAATAAGTGACGAATTAAACCAGGGAGGATAGCGATTAAATTTTATGCGCTGCAGAGGTATATATTTATCCCTAAGCTCGTATAACTTATTATAAAATAATTGGACAGCTTTATCTAATGGTTCCAATTTCAAAATAGTATACCAATCCATTGTATCTAGATGAGCGCAAATGTTAAGATAATCGCCTCGATGAAATAAAAATTTTTTGCCATGAACACTAGCCAGTGTCTTTATGTTATCGAAATTTATTGTTATATCCAGTGATTTGTGGTGGGCATCTTCAGGTACTAGCGGAGATTCCGAGGCAGATACGCACACAGGGCCGTGCCTGACGGGCGTTCATTGCGTGCACCGCACGCAGGCGGCCGAAATTAAGAGGCGGCCAAATCGTTACAAGTTGTTTACTGGGCAAAAATACAATCGGTTTGTTTTCATTAATCCTTGTTCTTTATGTTTGATAATTTTGTCTGTGATTATAAAACCAATACCATAATTTTTTTCATGTTATTATTTTTGTTTAAATTTTAAATAAAAAAATGTTTATTTTGTGCATTTTTTTTTCTTAAATTTCATCCAAACATATAAATCTCATAAAACCGGTTTTTAGCCGGTTTTTCTTTTCAGAAACCGGTTTTGGGAACAAAACTAATATTTTTTTTCGTTCTCGATTTCGGTTAACCAAAAACTGATTTTTTTCCCGGTTTGATGCCCTGTGTATAATAATAAACATTAAAAATTAAAATAGTTTTTTTTAATGTTATCCTGGGGGCGGCCATACAGACTGGCACGCAGGCGGCCATATACCCAGGCACGGCCCTGTACGCACATACTCATGTTTGAAAGAACTAAGTCTAATATTCGATTATTCACATTAGACTCGCCATTAAATTGACTCAGACCACAAGAACATATGATATCTAAAAACTCTAGTATATGCTCACTACTTGAGCTAGTGTTGGGAATTAAGTCGGTAGTATTTAGATTTTTAATCCAAGTAACACTATCACCCAAGTTAAAATCTCCTATAATGACAAATTTATCAGAGGGGTGCGACATCATTATATCAAATAATTTGTTTATAAAGTTATGTAGTTGCTTTTTGATCGAATAACCCATAGACTCGTCACATATATAGACAGTACATATATGCAAATTGTAAGAAATGTGGGGTTGGCTTTTATGAAATGTAATAGCCATATTGATTATATTCACAGTTATAATTCAATTATTACATTATTAAGAATATATAGGTACGACTAGGTATGAGGAGCTCGATGGCGCAAGTTAGCGCGTTCGGCTGCGATCGTTGAACTTAGGCAACTTTCACAGTGGTCGGTCATTGGATGGGTGACCAAAAATTACTATCTCGAGCTCCTTCGTACTTCGGAAAGCACGTTAAGCCGTTGGTCCCGGCTGCATCTGCAATCGTTAGCACCCACCAATCCGCACTGGGCCCGCGTGGTGGGTCATGGCCCAATCTCCCTATTCCATTCATAGGGAAGGCCTGTGCCCCAGCAGTGGGGACATAAATAGGCTGATGATGATGATGATGATTATAGAGAGATTATTTAAACTTTTATTGTTTTTTTATTTCTTCATGGCGATGCACACCTTCAGCCAATCTTAAAGCCCAGGACGAAAGCCGAACTGAGCGTCATTTAATTGCATGTTTAAATCCAAGTGTTGGCCAAGCAGAGCACGTTTGCAATTATAGTAGCTAACGAGATCGGTCTGTAATTATTTAAATCTGATACATCACCGGTCTTGTTCTTTATTATACCTGGTGAAGGTTATAGTTTTCCTTAAAAGTTCATGACCAGGCAGCAGACGGGACTCGAACCCGCACCCTCTGCTATCCGGGTGGATACACTGTCCAATTACGCCAACGCGGCCCTAATGGTCACGTCGAATTTTGTAGTATTTCTTAGGCTGCATATAAATTTCAATATTTATTAGATTTTCCTCAGTCAGTTTCTCTCTGTGTGTTATTGTCTAATTTAACCAAACCAAAAGAAGTCACCCTCTAAAATTCCTTCATGTTATTGCATAAACAGTAAATATTTGTGCATATATAAAAAGTTCCATAGATATTAAAGGAATGTTCCATAAAAACGATAAAGAAATAAGCCATACAAGAATATTAGCTTCTATAACAGGTACCAGTTTCTAATCAATTTGCTACCAAAACAAATAATAAGAAAACCAGTATTTAAAACATATATCAATTCACAAAGGTATACGTACTATCCGAAAAAAATATTGCTAACAATTTCCTTAAGCATATTTTACTCTCTTACAGAATGTGGGTTTCAATTAATCGTTAATCAAAGACGAGTTTCTTCGATAACGTCTTCTGTGAATGTAAAATGTGCCAGCAATGTATGTAAGTTATAACGGATTATTAGCGTGAAGAATGTGTTGGGTCTGTCGGTGGTCGTTGGTCAAATTGGTTTAAAGGCGGTGTGCTGCATCAGTCTGCTCCAGACGTTGCGCTCACGCGCATCTTTCTGTTCAATTTTATTCAGAAGTCTACCTATCAAGATGAAGGGATTCGCCTTCTTGTTGGCTGTGATCTCCGTGGCGACAGGTATCAACACAATCATTATTAAAACAATATCTCCATATCATTAACGAAAAAAAACTGCCTTCCAGTTATTTTCATAAAAAAAAATTTTTTCTAATTTAACTTGTATATACATGCTGTTTGCACATGCTAGTGGGTTCACTATTTTTTTATCAATTGTTTTTCGTGTGTTTTACCATTTTGCTTGCTGTAACTCTGTTTTGTGCAATAAATAAATAAATAAATAAAAATAAAAAAGCAAGATATATGTAGCTATACAAATATTGGAAATCTTTACTCAACTTTTTTAAATTTTAAAAGATAGATACACCTAGAAGTAAATAATGAAAATCTTAGGGCATATAACTAAGTTTTCTTATACACATGTAAATGACAATGTAAGTACACTAGATGACCCGGCGAACTTCGTGTCACCCAGTCGATAAATGTCGTTAATTGGTAGAAAAAAAAGATAGTGATCTAAAAGATGGACAGGCATATATGTTTTTGGGGAATTTTTTATAGAACTTTTAAAGGGAAACAATTCCGTCATACATGATTTTTGTGTAACTTTATTCATTTCCGCAGCGCACGCAACGGAAGCGCTCAAATGGAATATGTTGCCCGTTTTCGCAACATTTTTCATCGGTGCTCTGTTTCTACTATCTGACACCAAAAGATTTTTTTGTTCAATCGGACCAGTAAGTTCGTGAGATTAGTACGTTCAACCAAACAAACAAACAAAGTCTTCAGCTTTATATTATGAGTATAGATTAGAGGAAGTACCTGTACTTATAGAACACTTAATAATTTTACTTGAATAACTTTAACTTGTGCTACTTAGGTTGTGGTTGGTGTTGCTCGTTATAGTCAAACATGCAATTGCCCGCCTGATATTCGTGTATTTATTATAAAAACATAAAATAAACAGTTTTCGGTGAATATGATAAAACTAAGGCTCCTCAGCCAAACTATATCCTAGTAAAGAAATAAAGGGAATGAGTGCGAAGGAAAAACAAAAAAATTACACACTATCCTTAATAATAAAACAACCTATCGAATAAGAGTGGGGGGAGTTTGAAAATTAACGACGGCATTTGCTCGTATTATTTTTGGACAACGACTTAAGAGCGCAACTCCCGCGCAATGTTTTTTCCATACAAACATTCTCGACTTTCATACATAAAATATAAATTTACTCATTCTATGCTCCTATGTCTTCCTTTTTTCACTTCTAAAGAAAGTGCTTTAAAAGGAAAACTTGTGTTTCAAAGAAAGTGTCATAAAGCCCTCGAAAAAGGCCAAAAATAAACAATTTTTTATCACCGCGCTAAAGACGTCTAGTGTGGAGATTTAATAAGTATTTACAAAAAAATCTAAACACAGAGACATTGTTCAACTACTTATTATTCTTTGTGTAAAATTTCTTTAACATAATATACCTATTTCTCGAGGAGGAAATCGTCAGTCTTCAGCGTTGACTACTATTGCCCCTATCACACGGTATTTGCCAATGCGTGACAGCAATAGCTTTTTCAAATACCTATTTCTCAAATGTCTCTCAGCTCGTGTCTGCTCTTAAATCCAAACCAGGAGGCCTACTCTTATTCAACTAAACACGAAATTTCGCTCAGCACTTCGCATCACACGTTTCCTACTATGTATCCAGACCTGTCTTTCCCAGTGGGCACTTTGGGCAAGTGCCTAGGGCCCCTTAATCGATAGGTGGGCAACTCAGATCACAAATACAAAGTCCCTAGTTCTTGTTAGATCACCAAACGGGGGTCATAGGGGCCCCATTATCCTATATATGCCCAAGGCCTCCAATAGGTCAAAGACGGCCCATATGTATCTCATTCGTTTCTAATTATAATAATATTCGTTCGCCCGAAAATAGATAGAGGCTTAGATTCTTTAAGCCTACTCAAAGAAAAATTGAATTTGATAGATTGTTTATCGTTCAAATTAAGTATAACCTTAAGTAGACAAAATGACATTTCATTTGAACTTCGTTTCGGATAAGCGGATCTTGAAAAATGGAAATGACTCAATTACAAAAAGCCTTTCTCAATACACAATAAGAACTGCTCTTTTATAAAGTTACATTTTGATAATATTTGGACATATTGAAAAAAAAACTTTAGTTATGTACCTATCCAGTTTTAGTATTCAATAATTAATCACCCAGACTTTAGAAAAAAAAAAGATTTTTTAATTCGTCTGGAAATTGTATCCGAACCCCGAGACCCCTTAAGACCCGAAAACCTAGAAAACGGGGCTCCTTCCATAAAGGCCGGCATCGCATTTGTGATAGTCCTGGTGTTGCAAGTGTCTATGGGCGATAATGATCACTAACCATCAGGTGAGCCGTCAGCTCGTATGCTCCCTATAATATACAAAAAAACAGTCAAACCGAAGGCCTTCCAGATAGCAAGGCATACAGCCTGATGGCCTCTAGGACTGAAATATCATTTAAATGCTTGAAAATTAAAATAAAGGTTCATCATCGACAACGAACTGAGGGTCAAGGGTATTTGCAATCCAATCGGATTACCAGCCAACCGGTCCTCTCCTCTATTTACAGAATATACACAGTTTTTTTTATTGTTAGCTGGATAGAGGATCAAGATCTTACCCATTAACAAATAAAAAAAAGTAAGTAATAATAACTTGTTTCGTTATTTTTGGCCGAAGGCTTGACTTTAAATTAAAGTATCTTATAAATAATGAGAGTTTACTCTGTAGGTACATAAGTTTTAAGAGAGAGAGGAAATTCAACTAATAACCCGGTTGTTAACTTACCGAAGACTGCAACCAAACAATAACATATTATTGTAATAGTTGATGAAAATTTTAATATACTCTCTATCACTATACCCTGCCTGCGCGTCGTGCTTCGCGCTCTTGCATTGCGTAACAAAGAATACCATTATTTTGGCTTAAACCTCACCACTATTGAATACCCTGATTACCATTCCATGCTAGGGTATAACAAAATGTGTTACAGAAATCAGCGTATTCTTCAAAAGATATTTTCAAAACTAGGAAACAATCAAATTATTTGGGAAATATTTAAATTATACACAAAAAATATAAATTATAACCTAAAATTACAATTGTTAAGCTAAAGGTGTTAGGTTCTTTTTTTTGAGGATTTAATAAAACCGTATATGCAAATTATCGTTGAGCAGAAAGAAAAATAACATGTATTATATATACCAACAGTATGGAAGTAGTCAAACGAGGATAAAATGTGCGCAGGTACTTACTAAGTACCTGTTTTCGAGATGGGTGCTAAGATGTTGTCAACAGCGTCCATAATGACCGTATTTATGTGTGTATTTACCTGTATCCAATAAGTCGTGTTCAAGAAAACCCGACATCAATTCAAAGAGGAAAAGATTATGCATAAATACAAACATCGTAAAGGAAAAGAAAGAGTAATATGAATGCTTAATTAAAATGAAATTAACTGAATATTATTTAATTATGATTTATTGTTTTAGTTTCTTTTTTTTGTTATATTTTTATTTTAAATATAAAACTTTAGCTAAATAATTCTATTTATTTAGCTGAATCCAGTCAATTTTTTCTGGTATATTTTTTCTGCTGTTTTTTTCTTTTTTTGTGCTTTTTCCTTTTTTAACATAAATATTTTAAGGTAAGAGGAGTGTATGAGATATTTTTTGTTGTATCCTAGGACTAGACTGGGAGCTTACGAAAACATAGAATACGCCAAGCGTAAACTGGGACAAACTCCACAGAGCTTTAAGTAATACCTAACAAACCTATAAGCTTTATAGGAAAGATATTGTTATCTAAAAACTGTTTTTCTTAAAATATTAATGAAGTTGTTAGTGATAATATGAATTAAGTAACGCATTTTAACAAAGGTGGTGTCGTTAAGTTGTGGTTACGGATTATGGCTGGAAGATACATGAATACATTTTGCAATTGGATTAAACATGTAAATCAAATAAGCCTCATTTCATTTTAATATAAATTATATTACTTTAAGTTCTGCCTCCATTAATATTTGTTAATAAAATTTCTTTTCGAGCAAGACATTTATAATATAAAAATGCAGAAAACTAGTGGGAAATTCAAATATGTATTTGCAACGCGTAGAGAGGTTGTGACGTCAAAATATGTAACTACCAACCGTGATGTTCACAGGATATGCAAATGTCAACGAGATTATAGTCATTATAGTGCGAGTGCGTAGATGTCAAAGTCGCTTTCAACCTAGACAACAAGTGCAACATTTCACTATGACATTTAAATTTTTACCATAAATGTATGAAACATAATGTCTAATAGATTGACGACGTAGGTTTCAACTTTCATCCGTAGTGATGGTATGAAACGCAAACGTCAGTATCTGCGGGGCTATAATGTGGAATAGTACTGCAGATGTAAGGCCATTGATGTTCTTTGTAATTTTATATGAATCGTGACGTCATATCCAAGCGTTCCAAAACAGGGCGCGTTTAAATTTTTTTCGTTACTACACTAAAAAACAATTAGTTAGTTAGCACCCGCCAATCCGCATTGGGCCCTCGTGGTGGGTCATGGTCCAATCTCCCTATTCCATCAATCCATAGGGAAATCCTGTGCCCCATCAGTGGGGAGATTAAAAGGTTGATGATGATGATGATGATTGTTTTTTATACTGTATAAAGGGGAAGTAAACTAATAAATAAAATTACAAAAAACATGCAACTTTCCTATTATGATAAATTTATTAGAATGATTCTGCTTTAAAAAAAACATTTTGTTACAGGTGTACGTTATAATGGACTCCGAGGTAAGATATTCATTTAATTTATTATTTTTAAAGATAAATGTTGCACCCATAAATCTAGTGGGGAACTACACAACTTTGCATATTTTTTTAAATTATTTTTTTTAAATTTAACTTAAGACTCTTTGTAGTTAAATGGAATTTTAGTGGCTTTTTGAGGACGCGCCACTTCCAATTTACTAACGCCTAATAAAAAAATAGCTCTAGATATTGGTGGAGAGTAAGGCTTTAAAAGCTCCACGGACGGGGTAGGTGATGGAATAATGGGATAAGAATAGTCAACGACGCAAGTATCACAAACGTGTAACAACCAAACAAAGTAAGCTATGATGGCCGTCTCCATCAGACAGGGGATATGTTTTCCAATCTTTTTAACATAAAAAACATATTTTTTCAATATTTTGGTTAACTTTCAATTGTCTTCATTTTATATCACGTTTTCCAGTGAAATTCGGTTGGTCAGACGCCCTAGCGGACAAGGATTATTTCTACACTATACCCCGCACCATCAGTGATGCGGAATCCCTAACGTGGAAGAGGACCGAGCGTCCCCCTGGCGCTCTTCCTGAACTACGCATGTACTGTCCTCCTGGCAGGGGAGTGTGTCCCCTGTACGACACCGCTGGCTTCGTGGCAGGACTGCAACTTGCCGTAAGTGCTTCAAACAATCAACTGAATAGTCACACATTTTTTTGAGCTTCAGTCGACTGAGCGGTCCCCTGATAGCAGGCTGCCCGAGATGCGCATGCACTGTCACCCTGGCAGGGGATTTGTCCTCTGTACGACACCGCCAGCTCTCGGGCAGGACTGCAACTCTCCGTAAGCGCTTCCAACAATCAACTCACTAGTCACACTCTCTTCCTAACTGCAGTCGACTGAGAGTTCCCCTGGCGATATGCCAGAAAATGGTGCCGCCTTACAAAAGACCTGGAAGCAGAGGCGGCGTAAGGCGTGGGCGACGTGGGCCACCGCCTACGGCCTAGCGGCAGAAGGGGCCTCGCGCCTCAAAAATTTTTATGCATTGCTTAAAAACGAATTTCTTTTTTTTTATTATTTTATAAAATCCGTCATCATGTCGCCACAGAACAGGGTCTCGCGAAATCTGTCTTGCCCACATCAAATTTAGGTCTTGCCCCGCCACTGCCTGGAAGAAAAGACTGAAATCACTTGACCTTTTAGTGGCGTTGTATTTCCGTCGGTAAGGTTTCATTGATCTAAGGGTTAGGGTATGTGGTCAGGTTATGCAACAGCGCATCTCATTACCACCAGTTAACCACCCTTTCAGCTATACCTACCTATCAATTTGTTTGTTTTGATTGGGTCCGTATTTTTTTCTTTTCGTTTAAAAGGAGGAAAAGTCATGGTTAAATTGTACCCCTGCACGTATTTGAATTGAAAAGCAATTTTATCATTATGATACACGTGAACTGCATGCTGTAGATACATGGAAATTTAGATTGTTACCGTTTATTAAAATCACGTGAAATTGAGTGCACTTGGGAGCGATCATCGGGCGTGCGTGTATGAACCATTGCTAAATGATTTTTATTTAAAGTTAGTTTTTTTTATAAGGTTCTATAAAAATCAATCGTAAAGCTAAACAAACTTTTTACATTTCATTTTAGTATCGGTAATAAGCAGAATTAGAGGGATTTAAATAAAACTAGTTTTAACTGGTTAATGCACGAACTTTATTTATTTATTGACGTTTCGCAGCCTTTTCGGGTCTGCATCGTCAGAATAATCCTTTTTTGTATTTACTTTGTCGAGCTACCTTCGAAAGAAGAAATGAAATCTCCGAACGCTCAAAAAGTCTTTAATAAATAAAGTTCGTGCATTAACCCGTTAAAACTAGTTTTATTTAATGAGTGATGTCCGTGAAAACCTAAGAAACAAATAGATGGAATTAATTACATAGGTATACTCAGTCCCATTCTTACGAAACATCATTTAAATTAAATTGGTATTATTCTTTGTAGAAAAGCACTTTTTCAACAACAATGAATAACATTTAAACTGAATATATTTTTGTCAACTATTTGAAGTCAATAGAAATAGGATGAGGTAATAGCATGATTGGTTTTAATTTCATTTTAGAAATTGGGTGCAAGTGGGTGGGCTTTAAAAAATTCACTCAGGAAAATGTTAAGTAGCTAATTAGGTACCAATATAAACATGCGCAAATTATATGCCCCAGTCGCCGAAGCATGAGCACAGTACCACAATTTACATTATATCACGTTTTGTATCGCGCCTAACTGTCAAACTCCATAGTAATTTGACAATTGAGCGTGATAAAAACGAGCTATTTATCATATCGTGGTGCACATGCTAGGCAGGCTGGATTGATCTAGATGCTTAGATATGGTATGGCGTGGTGACTCTCAGTTCACGATCCGAACGAGATTGATCTTGTCCGTTGAAATAAATTAGATAAACGGCCGGCGAGCGACGGCCGGCCGTACTCGCGGACAAACTACGCGACTTCCTTGAACCGATGCCTCATCACTTTCCGCTCATTGGAAGAGAAATTACTATCACGGTTAAGGCTTACTGCACCTTTACAATGGAATTGGTTTAACTAATGTAACTCAAACGAAGGGAAACCAGTAATTTATAGTAAATTAAACTTTTTAGCCATCTGCAGAGGAGTGTAGACCCAAAGGCGTATTTTATAAAAATTTGGCACCCCGGGCCTTTTCCGATTTGCACCGTATAATTTATATATTTTAAATGCGGAAAAAGACTGTTTGGAAAAAGACGTAAATTTGCTAACCCGTCAAATTTGGTTTTTTTTTTTAATTCTATGTCCCCTCTCTTGTGGGCAGTAGCCACGGCTGCTCTGCCTTAAATCAAGCCTTTTTGTAATACATCAAAAGTAGTCTAAGAGTTGTTCCACCAAAATGAGTTCCTCGATAAAAACATAAGCTTTCTGCATGAGGCTTTGACAGAAACAGGCAAAACAAATCTTTCATGGGCACTATGTTTGGATTGTTATGTGTGTTATGTGTGGATATTATTAAGAGACTGATGAATGAATAATTGTTTCTACAGCTGCCCGTGGACGAATACGAGTCGCTGGCCATCAAGCCTGAGAAGAAGTTCGTGAAGTGGAGCGCCCCCGCCGTCGAAGGAGAGGCCGCCAAGGAGTACTGGACGCTCACACAATACTATGTTTCTGAAGGTATGTACCAGCATTGAAACTAATTTCCTAATTTTAGCAGTCGCCGTAAACGAGACCTCTTTAAAAGGGACTGCAGCCAAAAACACTACTAACAGATCGTGGCACATAACTCTAGTGCTGAACAAAACGCGGAGGGGATAGCTGCGCATGCGTACGACTGGAGAGCCAATCGGCGCAACGCACGCCCACCCGCGCACCTCTGTTTCCCCCCAAGACATCTTAATTTTTACGTCTGTGCAATAAAGGTCAGCGCTAGAGTTTCGTGCCGCGACTTATATTCTGTAATAAGTTCCTACAGATAGTGAACTTGCAGTGAGATTTCTTGATTTTCAACTACGAGATTTAAACTTAAGCTAGTTGACTGACATCACACCGGAGTGGTACTGCCTACTGGTATTAGAAAGTTATATGAGCGGTAGTGCACAGAGGATTGCTCGCATCAAATCGGAGCCTTTTCCTCCTCACCATCCAACATCTCTTGGTGTTATTTTTGTCTGTGAGAAATAGGGACTAGGGGTCCACGAGTTAGAATGGGGTAAGGGTAGATAAAGCCAACGGCGTAAGTGATACTTATGTATCATAATAAGTGTTTATAGGCTATGGTAGCTGCTTACCAACAGGCGAGCAATGAACTTGTGTGCCAACCTTTATACATAAGAAAAACAATAAGATTGGTATATTGTGGTCCGAACAGTTCATATTTCTTAAGCTGCTGGTAAGGTCATATTACAAGAGAAGGTTAAATCTGAAGAAAATATTTCTAGAAAAAAATCCTGAGTCAGGTTAGTGCCGGATAAGTTGCAAGTCCGAATCCCGTCTGAAACCTGCACCGAGTAGATTTTTCTTTTAGATTTCAACATGTAGCAGTTAGCTTAAAAATAAAAATATAATAGAAGTAATAAGTAAAATGATAAATAACAATATACAAATGCCTCAAATATACGCTATTTTATAATAAAATGCAATTTTAATTTTAAGCTGCTTCTATTCATAGCAAATAATTTATTTATTTATTTAAACTTTATTGCACAAATAAGTGTACAAGTGGCGGACTTAATGCCATTAAGCATTCACCACCAGTTAACCGGAGAATTGAAGCAAAGATCTTAAGAAGGTAGTGCATAAAAAAATATTTATTTGCAGAGTCATTGAAAGCCGGAGCGGGTCCGCAAGCGGCTAACGGTGAAACATTGCAAGATGGCGGAGTGTGGGTGACCGGGCTGGACGGCAAGCTGTTCAAGATACCCACCTCTGAGGCCGAAATTAGCACCACACCTTTCACCAAGCAGAACTGCGTGCCTAACATGGGTAGAGAACAACATTATACTAACATACATTCTTTACTATTCCCCCCCCCCCCCTCTCTCTCTCTCAGGTTCGAGTGGTCTAGAGGCTCCAGACGGAGGAGACTCCCCCCGCGGGGAGATACCATCCGCCTGGAATACCTCTGGAGGCACTCGCCAATTCTCGGCTTGAGGCCCTTAGGATCACGCCGTCTCTAAACCTCTCCAGACTAAAAAAAAATGTTTTTTTACACCCGTTAGCCCAAAGTAAGCACTGTAGGCTTGTGTTATGGGAAACTAGGATAACGGATAGAATATATATTTACTGATACATATAAAAGTATAATTTATATAGAAATACATATTACACATCCATGACTGGAGTACAATTGCTCGTATATATCAGACAAACATCAGCTACCACAACCGTGATTCGAACCCGGGACCTCTCGAGTAGGCGACATATTGATCCCTAGCATACAAACCACTCCGCCACGGAGGTCATAAAAATAATGTTATACATTAATATGACTGTATCCCACTGTTAAGTGGGGGTTAAGTCCAGGCGCGAAGATAGCTGGTGCAACAGTTACTAACTACCACATCGACTACCCTAAATTTGCTGACCTGCACAAATGGTTCTTCATGCCTCCTTTGAAGGACCGAACCCATAAAAACAAGGCAAGACAGATTTCGCGAGGCCTTGTTCTGTGGAGACCTGAAGACGGATTTTATAAAATAATAAAAAAAAACGCTTTTAAACAATGCATACAGTTTTTTGAGGCGCGAGGCCCCTTGTACCGCGAGGCCGTAGGCGGTGGCCCACGTCGCCCACGCCTTACGCCGCCTCTGTACATGGTTACAATCCCGTAAATAACAAATATTTCTATAATGTTAGTGACCATGAAAGTTTAAAACAGTATATATATTCTATTCGTTACCCTGGTATCCACACACAAGCCTATAGTGCTTACTTTGGGGCTAGGCTAATCGGTGTGCGTTGGTAATATTTGATTATTAAGAGATAAGTTTAAAGAATTTGGAATAATGACGGTCGCATCACAATACATATACGAAAATTTATTACTTTTAAGAAAAAATATTAATTAGTTTCTTAAAAACAGTGATGTTCACACAATTAATACAAGAAACAAAAATAAACTAACTTTACCTGCTACTAGGCTTCACAAAATTAATAATTCATCTAAAGGTCTTTGTGTTCGCTTATACAATAAAGTCCCAAGCAATATCCAAGAGTTAGCCATAAATAAATTTAAAGATATTATAAAAAAAGCACTTATTAAAAAAGCTTATTACAAAGTGTCTGATTATATTACAGACAAAAATGCTTGGGTTTGAACTGTTCCAATCATTCCAACAGGTTTTCTCACAATTGTATTGACGTTGTAAGAACATAATGATTTGTAAATGTTGTTACATTAGACTTAATGTTGTGGAGCTTTCTTCGCTCGTTTTTCTCCGCAGCTAAAAAGTATGTCCATAACGAGTGGTAGGGAAAAAATTTTTTGGACGATTCAAAAGAATTGTACTATACATCCAATTTGAATAAAGATATATTGATTTCTGATTTCTGGTTATCATTAATTACATCAACGTCCACCAGGTACGCACTACTACTACAACATGACGCGCGACATGAAATGCGAGGACCTGCTGCCGTGGTTCGCGCTCACCAACGGCGGGGAGATGATCGGCACCGGCTTCATGATGTTCGGCAAGCTCGCGACGCAGAAGCCGCGCCACTGGTTCGAGATACCGCCCACTGAGGACCAACTATCTGAGGTAATTTATTGAACAAATAACAAGTAACTACTACATTATTTCCTGCGTTAACTGATTTTTTAAAAACCCTATCGCGGAATTTTGCGCTCTGTCACTTGGCGATCAAAATGCTTTAAACGATTTTCTACAGTTGTTTTTACAACGCCCCGCCTTCGCGTCGGCCGCGCCAATCCGGGCCGCCGCACAATAGTAAGACAGAGAGCATTTCATTGATTGAATAATGAATTGAATTGCATTTTTTTTAGTTGCAATTTGTCATCCGCATCGTGATCGCGACAAAGTAAGACAGCGATAATTACATGTCTATGAATAAAATTTTACTACGCCGCTACCGCAAGCGATTATGGCATTATGGGTGACAGAGCGGGTCTTTCCGCGAGTGTACCTAACATATTTCTAGAATATACAGTAAGTTTAAAAGAAGCGTGAAGAAGCAACATGCAGGCCGACAGGGTGAGGATGGCTGGTGTGGCAGGTAGAACTGCTGTATCAGCTATCTTCGCGTCTGGACTTCAACTTCACTTAACATCAGGTGGGGTGGAGTCATTTGTCGGACCTATCTACAAAAAAAAAACCTATGTCTCAACCGCAGAGTTATTAAGTATATGGTCTCAACCCAATGGCGAGTACTGTTTAGAACGGTTGGACAACGGGTATAAAAAATTGCCCGTGGGTCATATTGGTGGGACCAGCAAGTGGTAATAGCCCCTCAATGCAGGCCATAAACGATATGCGTACCAAACTACATCCAAATCCGTTCTGTACTTTCTATTTGATTGAGTAACGAACTTACAAACATTCACATTTCATCATCATCATCATCAGCCTATTAATGTCCCCACTGCTGGGGCACAGACCTTCCCTATGGATGGAATAGGGAGATTTGGCTATGACCCACCACGCGGGCTCAGTGCGGATTTGCGGGTGCTAAGTACTGCAGATGCAGCCGGGACAAACGGCTTAACGTGCCTTCCGAAGCACCGAGGAACTCGAGATAGAAGATTTTTGGCCACCCATCCAATGGCGACTACTGCGAAAGTTGCTTAATTTCAACGATCGCAACGAACGCGCTAACCACGCGCGCCTTCGAGCTCCTTAATTCACATTTATTAGTAAGAAAAAGGATGCCAGCACTTGACATTGCTAGTAGTGTTTGCTATTTTCCCTATGGATGGAATAGGGAGATTGGGCCATGACCCACCACGCGGGCCCAGTGGGGATTGGCGGGTGCTAACGACTGCAGATGCAGCCGGGACCAACGGCTTCACGTGCATTTCGAAGCACCGAGGAACTCGAGATAGAAGATTTTTTGTCACCCATCCAATGGCGACCACTGCGAAAGTTTCATCATCGACCTCCTCAATTCACATTTATTAGTAAGAAAAAGGATGCCAGCTCTTGACATTGCTAGTAGTGTTTGCTCTCAGCAATCTCCTCTTTTCATTACCTATAAAACATGATAAAGGTATAATGCTGTAAAGTTTCGGATTTGCCATTAATAGCAAATCTGAATTAGCCATGTGAAGTGTTAAAAGTCAAGCATTAAGGTCTGAACAAAAGACTCCACTTCACCCAATATTAAATTAAGTTACGGTGGTGTCCAGACGTGAAGATAACTGGTGCAGCAATCTTACCGACCACACCAGGCATCCTCACCTTGCTAGCCTGATATTAACATCAAATTGAGAGGTCGATGGCGCATTTATAAAAGCGCGCTCGGTCTGTCAACATTGAAGCTATTTATTGCATTGGCAGGCCTAGGAAGTTACAATTAAGATTGATTATCATCAGAGCTTTTCTCTGCTTCGTAAGGCACATTAATTAAGCCGTTGGTACCAGTTCGCTGTGGCAGTCATCATCAGAACCCACTAATCCCCATATTTCATCCATAGGGAAGGCCCTGTGCCACCCCATCAGAGAGAACCAGTTTGGGCAATAAGAGGCTGACAATGATGGGATGGATGGAATTTCATGTTATTCTAATTACGAATTTTACATAAATTTTTAGATAGTCATACCTTACGCACCGCCCTGCCTTGGAGAGTGGGGATCCTCGTATGGATTAATATCACTCCACATCTACTACATCGACGACCCATGGAACCTCCGCTGCAAGTAAGTCTGCATCGGAACTTGATAATGCACATGCACGTTTGATGATCACTCTCCAAAAGGTCAAAGAGATAATCTTAAAACTTTTCTTATAACGTGACTACATTCAAAATTGCCAAATCTATCATAAAATTATGGACATTAATAATTTATTGAAAGATGATAATAATTGGACGACTTTGTTATTTAACTTGTATACTATTTCATCATTGAAGCATGGCTGCGACCTGCGATTGACTGATTTCCTAATAAAAATTATACTTTAAAAAACGTCTTTGTCACTTAATGCACCTTTATACTACACTACCTACGCTGTCCTTCAAATACTTCTTTTCAGCACCAACTGCACGAAGCATAAATATTGTTTGTAGGTAACTACTTATTACTACAAATACTTGTTGACGCACACTCGCACCAAAGTTCATAAATGAAGTTAAAGTTAAAATAATATAAAGCCTTATTCGATCATCACTGATTTCAGCTTTTTTCAAGTCTTTATATACAAAAAAGCTTATGTTTAAATGATCTTTAAAAAACAGTAAATGGTCACCAAAAATACAACTGCCATTTTTTTTGCAATGGGGAAAATGCGTTACGCATACCCCGCCGCCTGACAAGCGGCCCGGGTATGTGGGTCTCTCCTCCGTGGCTCTTCCAACGCAGGTCCATTCGATGAGTCCTCGGAGGTCTACCCACTTAAAATTCCACAGCGCTCACTTAGTTGGGAGTGGTACCCGAGAAACCGATTTCGAGTCACCGCGCCATCCATTCCCTGTTGTAAGGACCTTCTCACAACTGCCAACCTAGATGAACTACCTATAAATATGCAGTTTTGTTCAAATAACACTGTCTGTTACACTTGCCAAATAAACATGAAATGGCTGCTATTCACGATATGCTTATGAATTTCTTAATCTGGTAAATAAAACGATCTGAGACGACAACGCAATGGTCATTTCTACTTCACTATGTCTGTTTATTGAAGTACAAATTCCTATAGCGGTGTGCGCACTGCGTAACTATTTCAAGAATGACAACTGAAAATTAGAATTGAAAATGAATATTGGCAAGTGAAAATCTACAACTGCAAAATTCAGGAGCTGCATGTAGCATGGAGCTGTGTTCAGACTGATCAAATGCATGTCAGCAACCTATTGTTAGTTAATACACCTGCATAGACTAATAATATCTTATCTGTCTTCGCGTTTGGACTTTATCACCACTTAACACCAGAGTCGTACGGTGGGCACTAGGCCGCGTACTCCTCGGTCCTCGGTGGGCAGCCACAGGGGGGTCCGTAAGACTTGCGGGAGCCAGGTGAGAAGGTCCGTTCGGCGGTGTGCCTCTTAAAGGCGCCGTGTCTGTAAAAAAATTTTTTACCTGTGTTATATATAAAAAAAAGGTGGGGTACAGATATACTCTTTATATATATACTAGCTGTCCCAACGAACTTCGTACCGCCATAAAAAAATAGGGGTTGGTGGTAGAAGGGTGAAAATTTAGGGTTGTATGTATTTTTGTATGATGTATCATAAAAAAATTATATTTTTTTTTTTATCTAAAATTACCCTTAACATTTAGGGGGATGAAAAATAGATTACATCCGATTCTCAGACCTACCCAATATGCACACAAAATTTCACGAAAATCGGTTCGAGCCGTTTCGGAGGAGTTTAACCACAAACACCGCGACATGAGAATTTTATATATTAGATAAACCCCCACCATATAGGTAAGATCAAAGAAACTGAAGACATAAACGGCACTATTTTTTTAACTTATTAGCAAATATTTTAACACGACAGCCTCGAAAAAGACAGTTTGTTGTCGTTGTTGTTTGCGTTTTTATCTATAACCAATGGGGAGTGGAGGTGCTCCATGCTATAACCGCATCCTACACAAAAAGTGTTTACCCGGACACTGAAAATCCCTTACGGACGGTCTTTGGTTTCACTCTATACTAGGACAAATCCGGGGAAATCTGGACGGATGGCCCTATCCAGGATAAGAAAATTATTAATATCTAAGTACTAAGAGCCCGCAAATCCGCACCGAGCCCTAGTTACTGACTGGTGGGTTATGTCCCGTACTCCTTTATACCTTACAGGGAAGGCATTTGCCCTGGCTGATGACTATAATTTATCTGCTATCATTGTCACACGGGGTAGGAATTGCAGTATGATAACTAATAATGTGTTAGGGAAAACAATAGGTAAACAATCTCAGTAAAGAATGAACAGAATATTTTCAACTTTTTTTTTTTTTTTTTTTACTTAGTTATGTGCGGGATGGCTACCATGGCCCTTGTTTGTTGGGAGTCTCCGAAATTATATATTACTATCCTAAATTATTATTTATCTCAGTAAAAATATAAACCTCGACCTAGTCGTATAATCACTATAACCAGGGTTTTTCTTCATAAATCAACAAAATTAAATTAACTAACCAAACACATTTATCATCATCATTACCTGGTAATATTCCAGGCCACTGATAGAGTACATGCTTTTCCTATATATGGTATAGGGAAAGCGGGCCATGCATGATCTACCATGTGGGCACAATGATGATTTGTGGGTGCTAACGACCTTACACGTTTCTTCCGGAAGCGAAGAAGAGCACTAGATAGTAAAAATTTTCGCTCTTAACCACCCATTGCGAAAGTTACTTCAACTTAAATAACTTCTAAAATCGCAAACGCATGACCGGGTTTGAGTGAGGGCTGATGAAGCTGTGGTCCAGGGGCACAGAGAGATAAAACGCCAACCAGGTGGGGGATGGGGTGCAAATCATAAATAGTCAGGGGCCTCCACACCTCTAAATCCGACACTGCACGAACAGGACATGCTAGGCACTGCACCATACATAAGCAGATTTCTAATAGGGGGAGATCGCCGAAAGAGGGCATAGGGCACTGAAAGGTCAAAAAAAGGGCGTTAAACAGACGTCAGGTCACAGAGGTAGAAGATGTGGAAGTGGCTGTGAAGCTGTTTTAAGACCGTAGGTCCCTCGGGGGCAATGCCCTACCCACTAGCAGGCGTGCAATACACTTGTAGTGCTCTTAACTCAGTTGTGATTGGAATCATGTTCGAGTTTACAGAAAGCAGAAATATTGTTTTTCAATTTGGTTGTAGTATGTATTTTGGTAAATTTATATAAAAAGTCATAATTATTACTACTGCACTCAGCTCGAGGCTGCTAAAGATACTGCCAGAGCAAAAATGGAGCAAAAGATAGAGAGGGAAAAAAGGGAGTATAGGGGGATGTAAGGTTGAAAGAGGATTGGGAGAAAGCAGGATTAACGAGAGGAGTAAGCTAAGATAATTATGAGATAGTATCGCAAATAATATAAGATTCAGTAGAAGAAAAATGCGAAGTGTGATGAAAGAGTAATATTCTATAACGCATGCATCAGTTTTTAGTCAGGCAAGCAAGGGGGCCGGTCAAGTATTACGTAAGCAGATTTATTACAATTATTTACCCCCTCCTCCCCTTTGTCAGCAAAAGTAAGCAAAGCTCTTACCCCTCCCCCCCATCCTTACGTAAACATTGGTACCTACATGCATTTTTCCTTTAATGTATTCTGTTTTTTGTATTGATTCATGAGCTTTCATGAGCTTCATGACCAGCAGTACTTAAAAAGGCTTAATCGATGATGCTGACGTAATCACCATCTCTACCCCCTATCCCCCCAAGTTATCAGAAATAAGCAAAGCAGAGACCCCCCTGCCCCCCTATAGTGCTTACGTAATACTTGAACAGCCCCAAGTCAAATGATGTGAGGGGACTAAAGACTTTGTTTACTTTACATCTGGGGTGAGGCCAGGGTCTGCCTGCTCAATTCTATTCCCTGGAACATGACTTCCTGCATAGAATTTGTGGCCTTACAGATGGACATACTTCGCGGTGATGCCGGCGTAACTCAGTGTTCCGTATTATCTCCTAAACTTTTGTTCGACATATCAATTATTTAATACGGACACGCAATGGCTGGACGGGAAAAAATATTTTAGTAAGTACAGATTGCATTAAGGAAAGAAACCAAGGAGAAACGGGGGAATCTTGTCATTGAGCTAAATTAGATTTTGGACTAAGTACATTTCCGAATGGGGATACCAAGAACTTTGTTGAATTCAATGCAAATAAAACCCAGGTCTGCGATTTCTCGGCAACAACGTCGCCTATCAGTCCGTTTTCTTCTCTTCAGGGCGCAACACTGGCGCATGGAAGTTAACTGGTGATTTAAATGCAAAGAACTACACCGAAAGCGTGAAAAAGCAGCCTCACGTTAACTGGGAATCCTAAACAAGGTGCAGCGTTTTTTCAGCCCAAATCAATTGCCGGCCTACTCGTTAACTTTTTTGACATTTACAGTGTACTAATGAGTAAATTTCAAATCCATCGATGCTTTTCAGAACAAGTCATCTTAGTGGCGTTATCTATACTTATAATAAATTTGTAGAGAGGTCGATTCTGTACATGAAATATATTTTCCAAATAACTATCAGGGGGTGATAAGTGTTCGATACTGATGCCAAAAATGCAATCAGTAAAATTTTTGTCTGTCTGCCTGTGTGTATGTTCCTTATAGAAACAAAAACTACTGGACGGATTTTAACGAAACTTGGTACAATTATTCTTCATACCCCTGGGCAGGCTATAGTATACTTTTCATCACGCTACAGTCAATAGGAGCAGAGTAGTGAAGGGAAATGTTGGGAAAACGGGAGAAGTTACTCCATTTTTTTAGCTTCCGATGCGTGTGCAGCCTTAATGGTTAAAGTTACATAGAAATCATGTATGACGGAAATATTCTACATAAAATTGTCTAAAAAATATCCCGCAACAGCATATGTCTATCTTTTATGGTTGACTCACAATAACACGTGTAACTCCTGATAGCTTAGCAGTTCGGAGCATTCTGATTATATTTGTTTACTCTTACGTTTATAATACTCTCACTCACCCCTAATTTAAAAAAGTTAAATTATTACCTATTCAATAAAAAAAGAGTCATAGAAATCGGTATAGAAACACCAAACTTATACATGAAATAAGCCATCGCGCCGTCGCACGTGAATACTGAATCATGCTATAAGGAATATTTTTGTGTAACGGTTGCCGCGCTTGACACGGGTCGCGGCGGCGGTAGGTATAAGAAGAATGTCATTGTGTATAATACAGGCCTGAGAACAATAACTATAGTCTACACTTCAGCTCTACACCGAAGCGAAGCGAGGGCGGGCCACTAGTATATAATAAAGCAGTAGTGGATCACTAAATAGCTCGGTTATTATCACTTTCATTTGTCAAAAGCAGTTAGCGAAAGCCTACTTTACTTGTTGTACAAGACTGAAATATGAGATTCTGCGTGAAATATCGCTCGCACCTTTCGGATGGCCCCGGCAAATACTTACTCGATGATTTAGATAGGTTACAGCTACCCGTATCATTGGGGATGAGGAGGTGCCTAGACACCTTGCTCTGAGTCTCTTCAATTACGCCGTGATGCGGCGCAATTATAAAAGCGTTTTCTTTCGTCAATACGTCGGCGAGTAATCTTAAGAGTTATTCTACCATGTCACACCTTCCCCCTTCTTTCAGACTACTCCGCGCTACTGGTCACCGATTTACTGTGGCCACAATATCAACGCGAAGAAAAAGATTTGGTAGCTTCTGTCTTTGTCACACCATCCGCAAAAAAACATACACACTCACTCACTTTCACCTTTATAATATTAGTGTGATTAGCTGACCGTGCGACGCCCTGTCCGGTCCAGGCACGATGAAGTTGATGACGCACTCTTCACCGTGCCTTAAAGCTGATGTCAAATATGGTATGTTTAGGTATGATCCTAGACATTAGGGCGGCGATAAAAATGGATTTAAGTTAAACTATTAATTTTGTGGTTATTCGATACGTAGTTAAGGAACAATGCCACGAGAAACAGAGGACACTACTATTGTGTAAGTAACTTTGTTTGAGCACGTTAGTGGTAACACTCCGTAATTTGTTTTAGGACTGGAGACTCGATAAAGCCCGCCCCACCGTTTGACCGCTTACTCCTCAACGGGTATCGGTACGCGAGTCAAATATCCGACGAGATGAAAAAGCTGTTCAGTGGCTGATAACATGAAAATACTTCTAGCAGACACACACTTTTGTACTTCAAGCTCTACCGACAGGATTATTCAATATGAAACCTTATTTATTGTAAAAATACTTTAAATTATTAAACACTTAAGTTTTCGTGAATGCTTTAATTTATTTTATTACTTATGCTTAAAATATATTGTTTTTATGATTCTCATGATACACTATACAAATTAGGTATTTTAGTGTAAGTTGATGTGGTTTCGCTCTTTCCCACTTATATAACTGAACGAGTGATAAGTGGAGCACGTTTTGTATTTTGTGTTAACTTGAGGGATAGAAAATGTTCTATGTAGTTTTTTCTATTAAATAAAAAATACATAGAACATTTTCAGTTAGCAATGTATTTAACTCTGTTTTTCATTACTTATTTAAAAACATAGCTTCACACCATGCTCCATTCCAGTGCCCGCCTGGGGGCCTATCGTCTTTTTGCATTGGTAATAACAATATTAAATAAAGTGAGCGCGAGTTATTTAAAAAACCGTCGACGGTTTCTCGGTTCTATAACGAAATGAAATCCTAAGCTACTTAATATAGTTATTACCAATGCAAAAGAAATAAAAAAAACCAGAGGCATTTAAAAGCCATAGCAATCCCGCTAGGCGATTGGCCGCCTGCCATGATATTATCAGTATTTATTTATATCAATAAAAAGCATGGGTAACAACTTATACTAAATTTTATTCAACAATATATCATGTTTTAACTGACACCAGTAGGAGCTCTATGAGAACGTTTCTTGACTTTCTGTTGGCGTCTCTTGAGATGTCGCTGGATGCGACCAGAGCCCTCTTTCTTCAGCTCCTCATACTGCTTTACTAATGCCTCAACTCGTTGTTCAGCTACAAGTAAATTGAAGGTTACATGAGAAAAACATTTAAGTTGTTCTGATGAACACAATAATTTATAAATAATTGGCATATAAAAATAATTGTTTAGTAACAATGATTCACTATTGCATAATAATTGCGTAGAAAAGATGATAAACCCATCTTTTACAAGACCTTTTAGAAATCACCATTTAAAGGACAATATGAAATAGATGAATTTCTGCTGGAATCAAAGCAAGTGTCTTGGGAAACAACTTTTACCATACAGAAGACCAACCAGTTATTTTTTTGTAGCTGAATATCAGATTTCCCGTCTTACACTAAGTATGGCAATAGCATTCAGGCTATATTGGATCGAGGCTAGTGCAGCATATATCTCTGCTATATATACTACCTACTAGTAAATATAGCCTATGAAACTCACAAATAATGTGGCTTTCTATTATTAAAAGAGGTCTCAAAATCAGTTCAGTAGATCCAGAATCTCTGGGTCTCTGAATGTCGGCCTCATAACAAAACTCAGAGTCGCGCAGCGTGCTATGGAGAGGGCTATGCTCGGTGTTTTCCTACGTAATAAGATCCGAAATACGGAGATCCGTAGAAGGACCGGTGTGTACGACATAGCCCGAAGAGTTAGCACCCTGAAGTGGCAATGGGCAGGCCACATCGCTTGAGGGTATGACAACCGTTGGGTAAGAAAGGTCCTCGAGTGGCGACCACGTATCAGACGACGCAGCGTGGGGCGGCCCCCAACAAGGTGGACTGACGACATCGTCAAATGTGCTGGGAGCCGCTGGATGCGGATAGCGCAGGACCGCGCATTGTGGTGTTCTATGGGGGAGGCCTATGTCCAGCAGTGAAAGGAGAAAGGCTGATGGATGGATAGATCCAGAATTTACTCTCTACAACCTTATAAACTTTACCTGTTTATAATTTGTTTAAATAAGTAAAAATGGACTTTGCTTATGTTATATACCCTTTTAAAAAATATTAACACTTACATTTTGTAGAAAAAAATCCCCACAGACCAGGCAGCTGACGGGATTGTCTGTTGCTCTGGTCCCATCCGCTGCCTAGTCCATGTGGAATTTTTTCTTACAAAAGTTTCTTTAGATTTTGGCATCCAACAGTTAAATGCTTAAAAAATCAAAATAAAAACTTACATTTGTTTTTGAAATGAGGCTGTTTTCCTTCCCTAAAATCTGCTTTCAATTGTTCCTTGTGCCCGACTACTTTTTCACTTTCCACCTTCTTTTTCTTGCTGGCTTTATGTTGGTCATTCAACCTCTGCAATAGTCTGCGCAGTTTCTTCTCCCTTTCAGGGTCTGTAGTCTCCTTTAGCTCTGCACGAATTGCTTTAATATCTTTAATTCGAAGATCAGATAGAAAATTGTAGTCTTCAGAAAATTGTTTCTTATCAAATTCTCCACAAAGTGGGTCAAACCTGGAATTTATATACATATGCATTTCCTTCTACTTTCCTTTTTTATGAATACACTTAAGGGTAAAAACTAGTGAATATTTTTAAATTATTTACCTGGGATCTCTTATTTCTTTTTTCTTTGCTGCAGGTGCTGCTGACAGGAAAGGAACAGGCTTTTTTGAACTTATCTCTCGAGGGCGATTTTTGTTTTCTCTTTTGAAAACTTTAGGTTTATTATCAACATGTTTATCCTTCTTCCCAAAAAGAGCTTCATTATATACTTTCGCACCTAGTTTCTGTTTTAGATTTTGAAGCTCTTCAAAAGACAGAGACGAAAGCTCTGCTCTAATTGATGTCTAAAATATAAAATACATAAATCAGTTTCAATAATAAGTCAAATAGCTTTACTACAATGTAAATACAAATACATTGTTTGTACGATGTAAACAGTCAATTCAACTTACTCGGTCACCTTCATCTTGTTCTTCCTGAGCTGTATTGTCTACATCAGCCTCATTCTCACTGCTGCTACTACTCATAGTGAGCCGTAAAAAGTAAATATAAATAAACGACTGACTTACAAATCTGTAACTCGAATTAGGGGCGAATAAATAATAAACATTCAATACGAAACGAGAAAATGACATAAAAATTTAGGGTTAGTTTTTAAGGCCATAGATTACAGGCTCTGTTCAAACCTACGCTCCAGGTGGTTCCATGTTAAAGTTGACATTGGTGTCGATTCTGGCTTGATTCTCTGAACCTCAACTTGTGTATCCTTGTTATTCTCTATACAAAATGAAAAGGAGAGACTGATTTTTTAATTTAGTTTTAAGTTATGAGAATCGTGCCAGAATCGACACCTATGTGCCAGTAACACAAGAGAAAATTGCATATCCAACGATTTCCTTAACAAGTTACTTGGTGGCGTTATATTAAAGCAGTAGTGGATCACTTAATAATCACTTCCTTCTTTCAAAAGCAGTTACCAAAATGAAATAGAGCTAAAGATCAAATTAATCAATTCATAATAAAAAAAATAAAAAAGACGAGGGTGTTGCAAAAAAATAGTCGAAAATAAAAACATATTTCTCTTTAGCCTGGGAAATAATGGTGTCGATTCTTGCATGATTCTCTAACCCTAAAGGACAATGTTAAAATTGGCCTAAGAACCAACACCAATTAGGCATTTATGATAATTCTTAGTATATTTTTTGCGATAATTATCAGTATTTAGATTGTGACGGACACTTCCAGTTAAGTAAGCTAAATTAAAAAGTTAATAAATAATCTGAGACAATAAATACCATTTTATGTGTATAATCTATGACAGCGCTGCAAACAAAAACCACTTTCTTCCTAATGCCGGCACTTCACTTGGCTATTCGTATTTGCTATTTAAAAACATGACATCAGTCTGTCTTTTTCATTCCTTATTATTAAGCATGACAAGGACAAACTGTTGTCAAGTGAAGGGCCGGTATAAACTCGATAGTCTGTTGTTGTGGTGCAGGCAGTTTGCATTCGTAGTAATCTGTGGCATTCGTGCATTCTCCTCAGAGTACTTTTTATATACAGAAAATTCTCGTTCGGATTACCTGCTGTGTGTGTTTATTTGCGATTGTTTTTCCTTTAATTTAACTATATATTACTATTTCGGCTATCTAATATGCCATCAATGTTATTAAAGACAAGAGACCTTTTTACCAAGTGCTAGTGAACCTGTGCCACAACATCCTGAGAGGATCAAACTGCCAAATTATGCAAGAGCACCTGATACACTTATTTATATAATATACATGTGTTAAACAAATTAATTCAATATGATACATTTATGTAAAAATTGTCAATAAATAATAAGAAGCAAAACTATTGTTTTTATTATATTCATGATTCCTACCTAACCAAGTTTTTCCTAATAGTTATTCTTTAAAATCGCACCGAATGAAATGAATTAGTTGTAATATTAATTCACTTCATACTGAGTCCATACCAAGTTCATAGGTTGACTATGTTTCATTGAATATTAAACATAACCTCAAAAAAAATAGTTTTCCTAATAAATTAAGTTCTCAGAAGTGTTCGTCAATAATCTTTGTTTTTACAGTCATTTACTTGCGATTTCGAACCTAGAAAATAATATTTCATGATTGTTGGTTCTTAGGCTAACTATGTATGGACGCAGGACAATGTCCTTTGACGTACTCTAGCATGACGGACACTCTACAAACTATAACATTTGACTGCGACCATGACCGCAGATCACCTCTTGTGTGGGGGAGGCTTAGGCTGATCTTATAGGTACAGTCTGAATCAAAATCTGGATTCTTAATATGAATTCATATTATTAATTCATACAACTTTACTTCTATCCACACACAATCTAACAAAATTCATAATCTGAAATAAATCGGATGAAACCAGTTTCTGATTCAGTCAGACTCTATCCCCTTTATTAATAAACAAAGAATAAGCTTGGATTAGTTACTCCATGTTTTGTCTCTGTTCATTGAATGACAAATGGCATTTGAGTGGTAGTAACAAAAGACGGTGTAACTAGTCTAAACTTATTACTCGTTTATTAATAACGGGGTAAAAGGCCAGCTTTAATGTAAGGCTTCCGAAAAATAAGCGGTAAAGTCACCCTATTGTACCGCCTCCACACGTCCGGCGCGGCGGATGCATCCGTGGACGTCGCCTGATGCATCAGCAGATGAATCACCACGAGCCGACAACACGTCTGAAGGTCATTCAGTCTGTGTCCATTCGCGACAACCGCAACCATAGAGGTATAAGAATAGAGTAAGGAAGGCGGCTCTAAAAGTGTCCGTCTAGTAGAAAGAGAAAGGTGAGACACGGCTAGCCTTTTCTCTCTAATCGCGAATGCGCATTGGATGAAAAACCTACAGATGAATACCAACTAATCACACGACTGCGCAGCAATACCGACCAATAACACGGCTGCGCAGCGTCACCAGAGAGAGAGATAGCTAGCCGTCCTTCGTCTTCTTTCTCTTTCTACTAGACGGACACTTCCACTAGTAGTAGAGTACATATCTCCCCTACGACGCATTTAATACGCAAATAGGGCTACCATCCGTCAGGATTAGTCCGGACATGTCTGGACTTCTAGACTATAGTCCGGACTTTGCCCGGAACTTTAAATTGTACGGATTTTTTAATGACATTGAATATGAATAATAAAAGGACTTATTTATTTAAATACCATGCCATTGCAACTAAGTGAGTAATGGTACCATTTTGTGACTAAAAAGTCGGGACTTTTTTCAAAATTTCAGGATTTTTGTCAGGACTTTTGAAATTCATAAACGGTGATCCCGTACGCACACAACATAAAGAAAATAAATGTTGAGATTATTTGCTTTACTAATTGAGGTACATCGCAGAATAAATTATTAAAAAGAAAACAAGAAAGTGGTGGGTACTGGCTATTTTTCGGATTCCACAGATAGTTTTCTGCTTAAATACTACTCAAGGAATTTAAATGTTTCGTTAATACTCATAATATTAGCCATTTCAGCAAACGAGAGTAACAAACGAGCAAAAAATTATTGCAAGCACGCGTCCACTCTCATTTGCAACTCCAATACTACTGATGCGTCTGCCGACGAGTGGTGGATAGGATAGGGCGCCAGACGTCCGCCTGAATCACTTTGTTGCGTGCCGCAAAAACTGGCATCTATCGGATTGATGGCAGACGCATCTGCGGACGTCAAATACCTACTACAGACGCGCAAACCTACCCGTCTACACCACGTTGACGGAGGTATCCGCAGATGGCATCTGCGGATACGTCCGCCGACGTGTAGAGGGGGCATTAGAAAGGGAAAGATTTATTTCTTTCACTCAGTCCGTTTTTAAGAATAATGTATTTAGTCCTGTTTGTTTGGACGAAGAATCTCGCATATTAGGTGTAGAGCATGGACGAAACATTGCATGACCAACAAGGGTTTTGGTAAATTATTATAACAGGACATCAGGACATTGACAGAATCAAGTCCTGTCATCAATATTCTCAGTGATTCCAACCAACATCAATGTCATGAAATGACGGTTAATGTAATTTAATTTATCTTAGACTGTAAAAACAAATATAAAATGTGCTTTCCTTTTTGAAATATTAAATGATTAATTAAGATTAATTAACTTAAATAATAACAAAATATAAAAAGGAATGGACATTGACGAGTCTATCACAGTGACGAAAATAAGTAATCCAAATGAACAATATTACTTGCTGGTGGGATGGCAGCTAAATTCCTTTGAAATGTATCTTTACACAAAAGATCAACTATGGAAAGGAAAATTTTCATCTAACCGCTTAACAGGATTCAGTCAAAATTTAAATATATCTGAAATGGAATACTATAAAAAATGCAGGCATTGTTTGTCTGAGCAAATAGAAGATTACCAGTATGAAATGAAAAGTGGCTTATTTTATTGGAAAAAGAAATATGCAGATTCGTTGGTAATAGAAGGGTTTTTACCATTAGAACTCGATGCATCGCCATCACATTCGCGGCCTGATTTATTTGAAATTCTACTTGTGCTAAATAAGAATTTAAAGGAAAAACTGGTTAGAATAAAACGAAATTGCAAGACCCTGAGAAAAGACTTTTACAAATGTTTGAAAGACACTGAAGAATTTTTATATCTTAAAATAGAAATGGAAAAAACTCTTTGCGATAGATTTTTACATGTACTTAATTCAAAAAGGAGTGGATCAAAAACAACTACAATCGATAAGAAAACTATCAGTTCTGTACGCAACTAAAACAGCATAAAATAAATTATTACACTCTAAAATCCATATCATTTTTACTGACAATATCCTACAATCGAGTTAGTAACAAGTATGAATCCTACCGATGTGAAGCCTGGCTAACGATACTTGATGACTAGCTTGCTACATATATAGTGATCTGTGGCTATGACTATTATTTATTTTACTTTAGTTTCACACAAATTTTAACACAATGTATTATCGTTTTTAAAAATAAAAGGCTATTGATGTAATTCAATATCAAAACTAAGAAAGAGAGGAGTCAGAGTGAAACTAATTTGATTGGCCGTCGTCTCAGACCAAATAAAAAGTATTTGAGGCCTTCGTTAGAAGTAAAAATTAAAAAACCCTTATATAAAACATTTTTGGCGCGATTATTGATTGGCCCCATACATGACGACATAGAGACGACATATTCAGATGGCGGAGGCTTAAACCGGCCCCCCGCCACGACCGGTTACCCTTGTAGCACAGGACTCCCCTTGATTGGCCCCAGCGGAATTCTTCATTTAAACAAAAGTTTGTAGTAAACTAATTATTAGTTTTTGATTGAATGTTTTTAAATAGAGTTTGAGTGTTAAAATAACAGGTGAGTGTTATATTATGCTTTAAAATGGTGCAACAATCTGCTGCGACGTGGTATTCTGCGAACGCCACGCAGGTAGGCGCGCAACACCAAACAAACAGTCACAAAAGTTAGATATTAAATATACAAAATGAAGTAATAAACACAATTAAAACAACATAACATTAAAAAATAATAAAACACAGAGCGAGCAACATTAATATTATAAAAGCAAGTCAATCGTGACTTTAATATTAGCTAGTTACAGTTAGTTAGGTTTTTTGTCAGTCCAATAGAAGAATTTTATATTTAACTTTAAATGAATTTATACTTAAAAAACTTCGAAAGGGTGGAGGGATGTTGTTCCAACATTTCGTTGCAGCGAAACTAAAACAGTAACTAGCAAAGAAAGCAGCTGTACGGTGGCAAACGAACTTTAGACGGTCGGTTACACGAGAGTTTCTATCACTGAATTTTAATTTATAAAACAAATAAAAATCGCTTAGTCTAGAAAAATGCCCAACGAGGACTTGTCACAGGGTGTGCGGATATTTTTAGTTGCCCGAAAATTTAGAAAAGCGCACACTATGGAAGTAAGTCTGCTCATATCACGTAGTTTGTAGATAAATTGAAGATTGAGAAAAAATACAGGACATTTTAAAAATAACACGCAACGCAGACTAAAGTTCGCTGTGTGGTTGCTGTGCCAGTCATCACATGAGTTCTATTTTATTCTATACGGGGGCTAGACAAAAAGTTACAGCAGCTAGCTAGACAGCTATTATAGCTATGCAGGTGGGCAGGTGGGTGACCATTGACGGCGGTTTATTTGGTGAATGATGACTCGGGAGTAGTCTGCACTGGGACCATTCCACACTAGGTCCATTCTGCATTGGGACCATACCGCACTCAGCCCATTACGAACTGGGCCTATAGAGAAAGTAACCACTCCGTTTTAAGTGGTTTAGAAAGTGCTGACCCCTAAAACGGAGTGGTACTTAATTTATGATTGATCGAACTGGTGCCGTTTATGTTTTTACTATAACTTCAGGCACCTAGCCCTCAACCAGCGATCGGTGAGTCGTAAGCGCGACGTTGCCTAGCCATGGCAAATGCGAACGTACTGGAACTGGTTTCGCCTGGAACGGCTGTTTGATGGCACGGTTTGACGGTAAGCCGAAAGGCGAGACGGTATCAATCCCTTTCCGAGTTGACATGTGTTATCATCATCACCAGCCTATTGGGTCACTGAATTGCTATGTATGGAATGGAATAGGGAGATTGGGCCGTGACCAACCACTCGATCCCAGTGTGGATTGGTGGGTGCTAACGACTGAAGATGCAGCCGGGACCAACGGCATCATGGTGCCTTCCGAAGCACGGAGTAGCTCAAGATAATAAGTTTTTGGTCACCCATCTAATGACCGACCTTTGCAAAAGTTATTTAACTTCAGACTAAGCGCGCTATCCACCTGCACCACCGAGTGCAGCTGAAAGTTGTGCTATAATGGGAATAGGGATTAAATATGTGATTTATAACAAGTATAAAAAATCGGAAAGCAAAAAATAAAATACGTTTCAGTGATTAACATATTATAGGTGCTGCAATGATTATACTCAAGGGCGAATCCAGCTTTGGCGCCAGGGGGGGGGGTCATATAGTCGAGGTCAAGTCACAGTGGGTACTGATTATGAAGTACAGATTGTGAAGTGGGTACAGATGGACCGAGCCCAGGGGTGGGTCATGACCCCCATGACCCCCCCTCTGGATCCGCCCTTGATTATACTCCTATACTAGAGATTATGCCAAAGAATAGCACACCAAAACTTTGATGTTTTGTTGAATTTTAGGTAAAATTCTGCTAAAAAATAATTGTCATAAATGCCGTGGTTACATTTCACAAATTATGTCGAAAAAATTAAACAATAAGTTTGAATCGAGTTTAAAAACACGAAGATCTCTTAACAAAAATGGCTGCCAGTTCGTGGCTTTGCGAACCGGCAACAATCAAACTTTGTTTTTTCATAAAAAAATCCATTTGTAGGGGTCAAAATTATCTACTGAACATTGAAGAATTGCCCCTAAATAATGATAAAAAAATATCGTTTTCACTGTTTTATTTTTATATTTAAGTATAAATGCAAGAGGGCCAATTATTGTGTAATATAATTGACTGAATATTTAAATATACAAGAAAAAGAATACGTATAAAAATACGTAACATAAGGCTGTATGGATGAAGTATCCTTTGCCTTACATAAAGGGGTTAGAGAATAATTTTAAAAATTAACAGATGTAATGTAAACAAACGCAAACTTTAATTGAAAAGTGGAAGTGCTACCTATTAAGTAACCATAAATTTTCTTTCTCAACATGCTTAAGATAAATCACGACTTTAAATTGACCTAATATTAAATTATATAAATATTTAAAACATATACCATGAGCAAGAATCAATAATCTTTCCGGAAATTCCACTGGCTGCTTTATAAATAACCTATAAAAACCAAACTAATCCTAAAATGAATACAGTTGATAATAATCAAATAACTGTTTCCAAACTCAATGTTGACGGGGAAAACTTGTACATCCAAATTTTTTGGGAAAATACTAAAGAGTGTTTGTTCAATATGAAGTTGTATGAAAGACACAACAGTTGGTCTGGGCATTTTACCTCCGACTACGCAAGTATATTAGAAGAGCCGGAAGAAGAATACAATAGTAATGTAAAAAATGGACTCTTAGGCAATAGTAATAATTTTATATTTAAGTTTGTTCATTTGCCTGGAGCTTGTTCTGCTCAATTCAATTGGAAAAAAGTTTTCGATGATGGAACAGAGATGCCTTATGGTTCTGTTAAACTGCAGCTTGAAGATGAATCCAAAGACAGTTTAGTGGATTATTTGATAAATGAAAATAAAGAACTCAAAAGTCTTGTTGAATTAAATATCAGAAAGAATGCTGATCTTAGTAATAAAGTTGAGAAATGTCAAAGCGAATTAGAGCAATTTGTCAATGAGAAAATATCTTTAGAAAGCAATTTATATGGAAAGTTTGTACAATTACTAAATGAAAAAAAGGAGCGAATAAGACTGCTAGAGGAAAGTATTCAGAATATGAATTAAAATAATGAAAGCCATACATATTTTATGAAACAATAAATTATTTATTTATAAAAATTTGTTTTTTATTTTTGTTAGACAGTATTTAGTAACTGCGACCAAACAATGTTATGAACTTCGGTTTGCTCTTGCATGCTGGGTGGATGCAGACATCAGAGTCGGTAAGCTGACGTGGAGGCTCAAATGGTATACATAAAGATTTAGCACCCATTGCTGGTGCTTTGACATCAGTGGTTGCATCATCATCAGTCCTGTAGAAAAAATCTTGTATTAATAATGAAATGCTAACAATGACAGTAATAATATAAAGAGCAACATGTCATTAAAGATATCCTCATTAATGGCATAAACAAACCTCGCACTGTCCTTCTTGATGTTGTCTTCGCAAGGTATTTCTCCACAAAATGGTGCCATGAGTATGTGCTTCTTCTCCAAAGCTTCAGTGAAATCATTCCATTTTGTGTGAACTGATAATCTTGCATCACGGTCCTTTGTTGCTCTGTATACAAATAACATTTATGAAAGTTATGAATTGGTAGAAATAACTTCAGTGAATTGTTCTAAATCAACACTAATTGACGAATTTTAGAAACAGCTCTGTTGTTCCTAAAAACAATTTTCTCTGTTGTACCCTTGAAAGTGAAAAATTAAGTTTAACCACTGTAAAAACTGTTAAGACTAATTCTCATTTTAAAATGTCATTATGATAAGTATGCACCTATTAGGCGTTGAGCAGACGACGGGGCGGGGCGGGCATTTTGTCCGCGAAGCAATAAAGACCGCGTCTGCCCGTCGATGTCTGCGGCTGCACGCGCCGCGTACACAAAGCACACGACGGGCAGAGGCGGTCAGTTTAAGACGTTCGTTCTAGTGAATAGTCCATGACCGCCCCGCGCCGCCGTCTGCGTTACTGCATATAAACTGGTTTGTATGATCCACGGCGGGCAGCCGTGGACATGCCGCGCCGCCAGTGCCCGCCGGGCACCCAAGGCCCGGTCTTTTTGACCGCTGTGTGCGTTTGAAGTATAGGATTCACTTTGTGCTATTATTCGCGGCGAAATTGACCGGCCCGCCCCGCCCCGTCGTCTGCAAAGCGCCTTAGAGAATACAGCTCATAATAGGTACCTAATAACTTTGATTCAAAATATCGCACTGCGAACATTTTGAATATTATTTAGAATATAATAATAAAGAAATATATCACATTATTTTGACATACACTAATATTGAGAGTAACCAGAACAAAAAAATGGTTTGTTTTTTTTCTATTCAAGGTAAGGTAGCAAAATTGATATTACAGGAACTTTGAGTTGGGTGACTTTAATTCTATGTGATTTGTGCTATTTGATCAGGTTCATGGTCTGAGAACTATTAAGAGTACCCCACAAAATAAGTATTTATATATGGTTCTCCGTTACCTTATCACACTAATATTATAAAGGCGAAAGTGTGAGTGTGTATGTTTGTTACTTCTTCACGTCTAAACGGCTGAAGCGATTTTAATAAAATTTGGTATGGAGTTAGCTGACACCCTAGATTAACACATAGGCTACTTTTATTCCGAAAAAATGTTAGGTTCCAGAGGGATTTTCAAGAAACTAGGTTAACGCAGACGAAGTCGCGGGCGACCTCTAGTAATAAATATATAGTTAACAAATGAAACGAATGAAATTGATGCACTTACTTGGCGAACATTTCGTCGTGCGTTCTCTCCAGTAAAGCGGAGAGTTCGGCCGGCGCCTGCGTCCGTTTCAGAGTGAGCTTGTCGCCCGTCAGTCTTCGCACTGCGACTATCTCGCCTTTCGCCATGTCTTTAGGCCCTAATTCGACGCGAATCGGAACACCCTAAGACGACAAACGTTAATTGATTAGTTTAATTTGAAAGTAGAGTAAAATGGGTTAATTAAAATTAGTTTTCACTTCATAGCGGTTGTGAAGTTAGCAGCGAGTGCAACAACTATGCGCAGGTTTTCCTTATGTGACGGGGTGTCACATAAGGAAAACGCGCGCTCCTGCATCACCCTACCGTTAGGGTACGGCCAGAGTGCACTCAGATTCAGACTCAGAAAACAAGCGCGAGAAATAAACAATGTACTTAAAGCAGGATGGCCATAGTGACAGCAGGCAACCTGCTTAAACTACACTGTATATTTCTCGCGCTTGTTTTCTGAGTCTGAATCTGAATCTGAGTGCACTCTGGCCGTACCCCTATACGACTTGCACTGGCTACACAAACGTTCATTAACTTTGAATTCAAAATTAATTTATATTCAGTTTAAGATTTATAAGTACATGTGAAATTCGAAAGCTACGCCATCGGTTCGCAAATCTATGGCGGCAGACCTTGTGCTGAGAAGAACCGGCAAGGGCTACTTTTTTCAAACTGTTTTATTTCATACAGTGTCGTCAAATTTAAAGTTTGAATTACATTATACCTTCAGTTCCCAATGGTTTATCTTCCACCCGGAAGAGTAGTTGTCCATAAAGTCTCCCTCAGGAGAGGGCAGAGGATAGTTTTTATCCCAGAAATCAATCTTTAAGGGTGTGTGAGGGGAGCAGCGTTGCCAGATTTCTTTTTTTGCCAATTCGGGATTTAGTTACTTTTGGAGTGAAAAAAACGGGATTCTTTCGTCGAAAGCGGGACATAGTAAAAAAACGAATATAATCAACAGTTTTTGAATATTTATCTTTTTATTTGAGTTCAAATTACGTTTTGACAATAGATAGGTACCTTGTAAAAATATCCATAGAAAATTTATTTTAATAAAAATATGATATTTTAAATCAGATTTACCCTATCGTTAAATAGTTGCGTCTTTGTTTGAGAGTTGTTCATTACGCGCCGGGCAGGTGGCCAGTCCACACTTGTCAGTGCCATCCGCCCGCGCTTTCTCAATACGCTGCACGCACGGTCGAGTTATACCCGAAAAGCGGGAATGATCCTGTCCCGCATGGGACATTTAATTTTGATTTAAAAAATCGGGACGTCTGGCAACGCTGGAGGGGAGTGAAATTTTGTATGGGAAACCATTTTATTATACCTTAAGTTCCCAATGGTTGAACTTCCAGCCGGGCGAGTAGTTGTCCCTATAGTCCCCCTCGGTTCGGATCCCCGCAGCCAAGAATTCCCCCACGAGGGCTGTGCACGATTCGATGAGACTCTTCCTGTCTTCGGCACTGCTGGACGCGGTTATACCGCACGGGACCACTATCACTTGGATCTCTGCGACGCGTGGGGGCAATACTAAACCTCGATCATCACCGTGCACCAGTACCATCACACCTGTATGGAATCATAATGTTCTATATTAACCTATAATTATAATAAAATGGTAGGATAGTCAAAACTGTACATTGCATATTTTTATAAAAGAAAACTTGGGGTGTGATCTGCAATCGATACCAAAGCCAAAAATATAGATTTTAGAATTTTTGTCTCTTTGTCTGTATGTATGTCCGGGATAAACTCAAAAAGTACTGCATTGAATTACTTCAAATTTAGCACGAATATTATTAAGAAGTCGGGTCAACATATAGGCTGCATATTATTACGAAACTCTACCCCTAAGGGGGTAATACGGGGGTTGGAAGTTTGTATGAAAGTCCTGAAATGTTTTTGAAGTAAGAGACTTGTACTAAGTACATTTAACATGTATGCTCTATAGAGGGTGTAGAGGTGTACTAATAATGTATTTTTAGAAATAAAACCCCTTTTTGGGGTCAAAAAGTATGTCCAAATAACTAACTCCACGCGTACGAAGTCGCGGGCGGCCGCTAGTACTATAATAATAATAAATATTTCCCACACTCACACCAATGAGGATCCGTAACGGTTTTAGTTGAGAATGCAGATTTATAGAGCTAAGGATTCTATAAAACATAGTGGTCAAATGTTTGTTCTACGACAAATATTAACGAAGATATGACCAAATTACTAAACGAATTTTCGGCTGGCCGCGTGGTGGCTGTGACGTCACAGAGCTCTAGCGCTCGGTCGAAGTTCGACCGGCGTGAATCACGATCGAACTCTGGGACGTCACACGTTTCGGTCGCCGGTGAATACTGGCTACCATAAAATTAGTTATAAAATCGCAACGAATGAACCGATTTCGATGATTTAAAAAGCTTAGATCATGATACTGCTTTTGAGTTATTTACTGACATAGTAATGATCCTTATTAGCCTAACCCCAAAATAAGCACTGTAAGGCTTGTGTTACAGGATCCAGCATCCTATAACACAAGCCTTACAGTGATTTTGATAACGGATACAATACATATACTGATACATATATAAGTATATTTTATCTAGAAATACATATAAACATCCATGACTTAGGTACAAATGCTCATATTTATCATACTAACATTTGCCGCAACCGGGGTCTCAAGATGAAAATGTTGGCAGGGTCGGATTTAGAGGTGTTAAAGCCCAGGGGCAACGAAGGAGTAGGGGCCCCATATTTGAAAATCTGGCACCCTGGGCCACTTACGAGTTGCACAACCCCGCCCACTCTGGTTGATGAACCGTCAAAAAATTTTTTTTTATCTCTGTTATGGGGTCCTTCTCTTGTGGGCCCTGCCTCAAATCCGCAGGGCCGGATTTAGAGGTGCTGAGGCCCCGGGGCAGCGAAGGAGTAGGGGCCCCTATTTTAAAATCTGGCACCCTGTTATGGGGGTCCCTCTGCCCTGTTTGTTGGGCGTGAACTCTAAAACAATTGCACTTACTGTGAGGTACACATACGAGTATATGCCACGTTGAAAGAGCCAGTTATCATATTAAAATAAAATATGAACATCGAGGTACACTTGGTTAGGGGAATGGATCTTTTACACGAATAGGGTATTTGACAAGTTTTAGAAAACGATCTCACGTTATTTACTAATGTTTGTAGAGTCCATAAATAGTGGATATTCATCGTTAGGTTGTGTATTTCGGTAAAAAAACTAAATTAAAAACTCTATTTTCAAGTTGCAGCGGAAAACGAATTAGTGATTGAATGAATGAATGAATCTCACCTATAGTCCTGGTGGTGATACCCCACGAGTTCTGGTAGACATACGCCTTTTCATGAGTCTCGGGGTCGTCATACACTATCTCGAACATTTTGGAGAAGTTCTGCCCGAGGTGGTGACTGGTCGCGCCCTTTACAACAAATAATACAATGTTTAAACAAAGTCTTTTTCAGGTTCAAAAAGCACCATTTTTCACATAAAAAGCATCTGCATCATCCCCTTCTCAGGGGTTGATCGCATCAGACGAAGCCTGTAATACCCTTATGGCCATAGGCGTCACCCCACGGTTGTGGTTTTGTCAGTAAGAGTGACATAACCTTGCAGCCGGTTGTAGGGTATCCATGAGGATTTATAAAAAAATGAAGAGGGGGCCCCAACCTGTCCTACCTTAAATCTGGTCCTGGCTTTCCCTGCACTAACCGCAAGGAGATCGATGCCTTAGTTAATCACAAAATATGGACGGTTATTTTAATATGTATTTATACGAACCTGTATACCGCGTCCACTGGCCGGAATGTACGCTTCCACAGTGGTGGTGTAATCTCCACCCGCGAACTTTTCTTTCTCTGTCTTTCTGCCCTTAATGACAGGGATGGCTAGCAATTCCTCGTACACGCGCGCGTACAGATCTGTTTGTAGGGAAGGGAGACAGTATTTTTAAATAAGAAGTCGTACGTAATTAATAATGCGTAAGTTTACGGCAGTTGCGGCATGCGTTTTATGATTTTTATTGAAAAAATGGGTGCGTGTACTTATGTAGGCGCGTGAGAAGTTATCCTTCTTTGGCATCGTTTAAAATTAGTTTTTAATTGCATGCAAATAATTAATTACAATAAATTAATAAAAAGTCTGGAAAAGGACACAGTCAATAAAGTTCAGTTTTAATTTGAAAAAATAAATAAATAATCAAAATATTCAATTAAAATCGCTACTGAATATAATTTATTAGAACATATGTGATTTGCACTTGTATGAAACTCAAACACGTAATCCGAATATACAAACTAGAAACATGTGGATAAATATTATAAATATGAATACCTATAACTGTTACTTTATTACAAAAAATAAAGATGTGGTTTTTGGTTCTACTACACCAATGGTCAAGAGATGGCGCTGTAGTCTCCTGAATCGCGCTTTGGTTCCGTTGTTCCAGATTAATAAATACTTTTGATAGGCCTTCACAATGCAGTCGTTAGCACCCACTAAATAGAGATTCTATTTCTATTTTGTTGGTAGATTTTCTTAATGTGCGGTAAACACAAAAGTAACAGCATGAAGTTGGCCAAAGCGACCAACTTCATGCTGTTAAAATTTTGTGTTACAGTGATGCGCGCGCATCTTAATATTTCAATCTCATCATTTTTTCATAACGCGCCTATAGAAGTATAACTTCAAAAAAAATTAAAACTACTTCATAGAAAAAAAATCAAATCACTTGGTTTGGCAGGGGCATATATTTACCCTAGGGCCACAAGGGGCATACCCGAGCCGGCCCTGCAGGATCCTCGTAAAGGCATTCGTTATTTACATGTCTTGAATTATTGAATAAAAAATTAAATGCATTCCCTTTTCCAGTACTCATTTTCTATACGTTTCATATTATTTATTTCCTTCTTTTGTTTTCAAGTGTTTGGTATATATTTGAAGTTTAGCTCAGTGCTAAAAAAAGTGTTCCAAGATTTTTTGCAAAACTTACTTTTCAAGCGACATTTGACAGATGGAGGTTCTTGAGATGGGCTTTCCTATTCTTATTTGAATTGCATAGTACGCAATCAATGTAAGAGACGCGGGGCGCCAGATTGTGTTAGAGATAATTTCGAATATATCTGACGTGGCGGAGGATTTTATTGTTAACCAGCTTCAAAAAGGAGTACCAAACAACGAATTAGAAATGATAGGGAACACGAACTGCGCTAAAAGTTGGTTCCACACAATCTGCGATCAAGTGGGCGGGCAAAAAATGCCGATCCCCACGCCGATCACGGATTGGTTGGGATTTCCATTAAACATTATTTTTACCCTATGAATGTCGATTAGTCGATTTTGCATATCGTTTTCAGGTAGCTTTATAGCAAATACATATAGATAGATCATTGCAGATATATGATTTGACAAATTATTTTGTTATGTCCGTGTTCGAGTCGCGTTAATATTGAATTTAAGTCGTATGAGCTTGGGACTTTATTTTAGTGGCCTTTGTTAGAGAGTAATGCTTCCATATCATTTCTGATTCGTTGGCCTGACCTGACCTGTACTGACCTAATATCTGCAGCACTTCTTCTCCAGCTTCCTGCGGGGTTCGGAAGGCGGTGTGTCCCTCCTGCCACAAAAACTCGCGCGTACGAAGGAAAGGCTGCGGCTGTTTGAACTCCCATCGCTATAAAATTAAACACATTTGTTATATGTATTTGTTTCTTAGGTTTTCACGCACATCACTCATTAAATAAAACTAGTTTTAACGGGTTAATGCACGAACTTTATTTATTTATTGACGTTTCGCAGTCTTTTCAGGTCTACATCATCAGAATAAACTTATTCTGCGTTTCATATGTCTGTTTCGGCCATATAACATAATACATTGTTATTTGGCCGAAACAGACATATGAAACGGAACGAAACGTCGCTCGTTGAGTACTCGTGGCGTGGAGATGTCGCGTTTCAAAATTCTGTTTGCGTCCAGTTTCGGATTAAAGGCGGGGCAGGAAGGGGCTGTGGCCCGGAGCCCTGGGCCAACAGAGATAACAATGACTAATTTTTCGAGGGAGGATGGGGAAGGGGTTTAAATGCTCGTAAGTGGCCCGAAGTACCAGAATTTGAAAATAAGAGCCCCTACACTTTCGTTGCCCCGGGGCCTCCCCGCCTTTAAATCCGGCCCTGTCAACAGCCCCTATATGGGATAGCGAGAGACTATTCATCAGCTTTAACAAATATAGCAAAACTACACTATTGATACTAAAAGACATTTTCACCTTTCCTCATTGAGAAACCAAAAACAATAAAGCGCGGGAAATTGCACCCGTTTCGAGGGCTGAATCCACGGAGCACCCCTACTAGAGTCCGCATCACACAAATTTTGTTTGGAATCAAAATCGCCAAAGTCGGCGGCGTGCAGGGAGGTCAGCCCCGTTGTGATTGGACGCGTCAAGGTCAGATCATATACTCAGTGCAGCGAAGTGATGAGGATAAGATCGATTTTAGAAAATGTTGATATTTCCTATCGATAAACAATTTAATATAGAGGCCTAGTACTTTGGTGCGTTCTAATTACATGAGGCGACCAGTAACTACAAACTAAATAATATATAAGCAACACAAAAAAAACACGTGACAAATATATAGATAGACAATAATATGATGATATTATCATAAAATAATTTTTAAAACTTAAAGCGCCTTACTCATCGGGTCAGTACGGATTCATTTCGTTTTGTTTGCAGGAGTGACAGCATAGGCGAGTCAAATGAATCGGTAGCATTCGGAAGCACTCGGCACAGCGAGCTAAGTATACAAATTTTCGCGTTTTCAAATTTTAGTAGGATATGTTTGAAATCAAATAAAAACTGTTGGTTGTATACTCATGACATCTGTTATTGAATACGATGAAATAAATAGTTTTTATTTATTTTTTCCATTTCCATAGCTGACAAACTTATCGATAAACTTACGGGATGAGACATGAGCTGCGTCTGCGTCACTAGCAATACACGTGCCGGTGTGAGACCGGGATAGTATATATGATGTAGCGCATGCAAGAAAGGGACAATGTACAAAGACATCAACGCGTTCACCAAAAAATAAATACAATTAACAGCAATTTAATATAAGAGTATTTTTGTCTTTTTGTAATGTATTTAAACTTACCGGTGAAAAGTAATACTATATTTTTGAAGACTGGAAGTTTTACTCTACTTTCCACCCAATTGAATTGCATATGAAGGCATTTTTTACAGTTTTTTAACACGAAAACGAGAGAAGCAGTTCGACCGACGCTCGGTTACCAAATGAAATGATGTATCGCGACGTCTGTGGGCGTGCCTCACGCATAGGTAAAATACTACTTAAGCTTGGCGTAAGCGCTTGCCTTCTATGCGGACTCTAGTCGGGGTGCTCCATGGCTGAATCACACGAAAATGCTACTGCTACGTGTAGATTACTTTTTTAATTTGTTTCAATAAGTCAAGTGTTGTTGGGGAAGATATAATTTGGGTATATAGTCGCCATTAGTCGAGACTAATCGGGGTTCGGCCATGGATACAAGGTAAAGGCAAAGGCAAGGTACTCAAAAAGTACCGCATGGATTTACTTCAAAGGCACAAATATTATTAAGAAGTCGGGTCAACATATAGGCTACATATTATCACGCTATCACCTACGGGGAACGAGCAGTGAACCCTTATTTCTTCAACGCATTCTGTATCAACGTGTAATCTAACTCCACGCGTACGAAATCGCGGGCGGTCGCTAGTAAAGAATAATTTCATTTCATGCACTATCCGTAAATGGAATGCTCTACCCGCTCACGTGTTCCCTCCCTCTTATAACCTGGGATCCTTTAAAAGAGGCGTGAAGAAGCAACATGCAGGCCGGCAGGGTGAGGATGGCTGGTGTGGCAGGTAGAACTGATGTATCAGCTATCTTCGCGTCTGGACTTCACCTTCACTTAACATTAGGTGGGGTGGAGTCATTTGTCGGACCTATATATATAAAATGTGGTCTCTGAATGTCGGCCTCATTACAAAACTCAGAGTCGCGCAGCGTGCTATGGAAAGGGCTATGCTCGGTGTTTCCCTACGTGATAAGATCCGAAATACGGAGATCCGTGGAAGGACCGGTGTGTACGACATAGCCCGAAGTGTTAGCTCGCTGAAGTGGCAATGGGCAGGCCACATCGCTCGAGGATCTGACAACCGTTGGGTAAGAAAGGTCCTCGAGTGGCGACCACGTACCGGACGACGCAGCGTGGGGCGGCCCCCAATAAGGTGGACTGACGATATCGTCAAATGTGCTAGGAGCCGCTGGATACAGATAACGCAGGACCGCGCATTGTGGCGTTCTATGGGGGAGGCCTATGTCCAGCAGTGAACGGAGAAAGGCTGATGGATGGATATATATAAAACAAATGTTTATTGTTTACTCACCACGACGTTGTTCCACTGGTTGAGTTTGTACGGCAGGTCGCGGTGGCTTTGTATCCAGCGCGCGTACGCCGGATACATGGCGGTCTCGGATGTGGGCCGGATCGCGATGTGCTCAGCCAACTCTGAGGAGCCGGAGTGCGTAACCCAAGCCACTTCCGGTGCGAAGTCGGCTATGTGAGTCTTCTCGCGCTCTAGTACGGCCTGTGTGTGTTTTTTATTACTTAGAAGGTAAACTTATTAAAGACGTAAAAGGGCGTAATCGTTAAACAGCTTCCTAATGATGTGTTAGACATTATTGCAGCCGTGGCTTCTTGCATTTCAGGCACTGCGCTCATAGCCGATATATATTTAAGTATAAGTGTTCCATCTGTCTGTATCCATGATTGTTCCGACTAAATGTTATTGATTGATTGATTGAAAATGTGCTCAGCCAACTCTTGAGGAGCCGGAGTGCGTAAACCAAGCCATTTCCGGTGCGAAGTCGGCTATGTGAGTCTTCTCGCGCTCTAGTACGGCCTGTGTGTGTTTTATTACTTAGTAGGTGAACTTATTGAAGAGGGCGTAATCGCTAAACAGCTTACTATTACCTGTTATAGCATAGGTCAAAACCATAGATTTATAAGAATACTATGTCTGTGAATAGAACACAGAGTAGTCATCAACGCAGGCGCAGACAAAGGACTCCTACAGCTATGCATTAGATTTTTGTGTTTTGTTTTTATTTAAAATCAAATCTTTTAAAGTAGGTATTGATAGTGTCTAACATCTACATGTCATGTCAGTAAGTTGAAAACTAGCGTTAGTGCAAACTGATACAATGCTGTTCTGGGTCCTTTTCGGACAAGCTGTGGATAGTATCCACTGGATACATAGCATGTAATATATGTTTGTCATTATTATTTTCCGACATTACATTTACTGTTCATCTATATACCGTCAGGGGGGGGTACTTTAGCTCGGGCGGGTAACTTTGTCCCAAATCAGAAAAAATATTGAACTTGCCGCCCCATCAGTATCTCTTGAGTGACCGTAATAGTTCCAGTTGAAAATCACAGATAGCCATATAGGCGCGTACTGTGGTGTTGTTTTACCGACATCGTTCCTGTATCAAGTTGTTATTGTAACGCGGGATTTTTGTAACTGAAATAGTTCGCAAGTTCATGCGCAAACTTTCTCAAAACTGTGGTTCTAAATTCAAAGTTATATTTTTTATTTAACTTAATTATTTTTGGGCAAAAACATCCATTTGTGTATTCAGTATGCTAATGGTGATCTGTTATAAGGGTTACTTAACCCCAACATGGCTTAAAATGAGTTTTTATTCACAGAGAAAACTCAACGAGCTAAAGTAACCTCCTTTAAGGCCAACTTTGGCCCACAATTAAAAAAATATATATTAACCCTTAAATATTATTTTTTCCTAATTTACGTATGATAACTTTGTAACTTATACTTTAAAGTTCACAATGGAAAGATATAAACGTGACATATTCATCACAAAGAGAAGCTACAATTTTATTTGAAAAAAAAAGTGCACATTTTAGGTCAAAGTAACCCGCAGTTACTCGGTATATTATATATTGGTAATGAGCACAGTGCCTGAAATGCAAGACGCCACAGCCGGAATAATGTAAACACGCCTCTCTCGTCTCTCTATCTCTCCTTCGTCTATACAGACGGCGACGTGTGACGCGGAGTGATATCAGGTAGCCGGCCTCGGAAACGCCGGAAGAGAGATCGGCCAAAAATGTCATAGACTCGTTAAAGTTTCTTAGAAAATATTACACAATAGTCCTTACAAAAGAACTTACCTTTGATACAAATATAGGGAAATATCCGTCTTTGACGCCTAACTTCTTGAACTCCCCGGAGAGGAAGTTCCTTATCCGGTCCCATATGCAGTACGACCACGGCCGCAGGATGTAGCAGCCCGAGATGTCGTAGTAGTCGATCATTTCGGCTGACAAAGAAAAATATACTCAATGGAGCTTGCAATGAAGATTAATATCAAATGGCATTTTGTTTTTGTAGAACTGTTTTTTCTTATGTTGTTACTGTACGGTAATGAAATTTTCGTCTAGCATACTTTTTAGGGTTCCATACCTCAATCGGCAAAAACGGAACCCTTATAGGATCACTCGGTTGTCTGTCTGTCTGTCACAATCTTTTGCTCGGTATTTACTCGATTGAAAAAGTTTAAATTTCCTACTAACATGTAGGAATGTCTGTAACCCAAACACGGACTAATAAAGTAAATAAATAAATAGTTATATTTTTATTTTTAAGCATTTTACTGCTATTCAAATCTTATAACAAAGAGTCCCTATGACTTCAAAAACTCCGTTTATGGAAGTCGGTTAATATACTATGTTTAAAAATATGTTTGTCAGTCTCATGTTTCGGTCATATTTCGAAGCTTAGTTCATGGGAAAAGAGATGCAAGATATTCTATATTAGGTATGGATTTGTGTTCAACAATAAATACATAGAATCAGTCAAATTAATTAACATAACTTGTGTACAAATTAAGTTTTAATAACCATTTTGTTTCAAGTCATTGTTTAAAACTGCTATTCAAACCAAAAAAACTAGTTTATCAATAAACAAGATACACACATATTTGTTTGTTAGGTTTTCACGCACATCACTCATTAAAAAAACTAGTTTTAACGGGTTAATGCACGAAACTTTATTTATTGACGTTTCACTGCCTTTTCAGGCTGCTTCGTCAGAATGTTTTTTTAATAAAAAGAATAAAAGTTAGTTTTATTTAAGATACTCACATTTGGTAATGACTTGAGTATACCACTCCGGCAGATCTACATCTTTGCTCGCTTCCAAACCTAGCCTAGTGATCTTCTTTGGTCCTGTCGATGTCTCTTCTTTGTTAGGCTTTGGAGACTGAAAATAAAGTTACTGTTAGCACATGAATAATTTCAAATCAAATATTATTAGCTCATTATTAAGCTCATTAACATAGATTCGTTAAAAACTTTATAATTGTAATCACAATGATTTGCTCATGGTGTAACCTTTGATATTATATACCAAAAAAACGAGCGAGCCTTACAGTAGTAGCGTATGATGTGTTACATTTGAAACCTCACCTTATATTAGTAAAAAAAGAAATAAAACCTACTACAAAAGGAATAAGTCATTTGAACATTATGTTCTAAAATCAAATAGCGCGCGCTTTCGCGACTTCCTGTTACACACTTCCGTCCCATTTCACGAAATCAATCCCAAAAATTGCAGGAAAGCGAGAGGAAAGATGTTACACATCAAAAAAGTTAACAATATTGTTAACTATAAACACGATACAATAACTTTAAACATTAATCAGCAGTATGCAAATGTTTTATAAACCAAACTTAAGTTTTAAATTCTCATATTTTTTAAATATCAATAATATCGAACTGACACGTGAAATTTTGGATATTTGTACCAAATTGTTTCTTTTTGTATTAATATAAAATAATAATTCCAAATCTGCAGCGTGTTACTATTTTTTTTACCCTTGTTATTAATAAATTTCATTGTTTTTTAATTATAAACAATGTTCCATATGTTGCAAAACGCTGCAAAACTTAATACACTTTACAAAACGGTAAAAAAACCTAATTCTTTCATCATTCCGATCGGGTAAGTTCATATTCGATTAATCCGACAGTGCCGATTAATGCCGGCCCGTTAAAATGTATAGCAACCCTTATATCAAAAGTATTACAGTTATTTCCTACTTTTCTGGTCTAGTGGTACGCACGTTTTGTATTTCGTAGCCTTATTATTTGGTGGATTGATAGGTGTGCCTATAGTAAAAGTTTTAAACTATTTTTTTGTCGTGTCAAGTAACTGTTTTTTTTCTTAAGACTTGTACTTTTCGAGAAGAACTGTTATTTTATTTAAAATGAACATTTTTGTTTGAAAAAAATGGATGCGTGTAACTTATGTACGCGCGTGAGAAGTTATACTTCTTTAGCATCATTAAAAATATTTTTTAATTGCATGCAAATAATTAATAATTACAATAAAATAATAAAAGGACTGGAAAAGGATAGTTAACACAGTCAATTAAGTTCAGTTTTAATTTGAAAAATTAAATAAATATTCAAAATATTCAATTAAAATCACTACTGAATTTAAGTTATTAGTCCATACTTATGTAATTAGCACTTGTAAGTAACTAAAACACGTTGTGTCTATATAGAAACTAGAAACATGTGGATAAATATTATAAATATGAAAACAGTGATCAGAGGCGACGAACGTGCCAACATTGTTTTTGACAACGCGATCATCTTATGGAGCTCCGTGGATCGTTCAAAGTACCTTTCGAACAGATGTCTAATAATGGTGGATTATTAACCACTAAGTGGTTAATAATCCACCATTATTAGACACTAACATTCATAACGCGCCCGCGGCCAACTTCATGGTTTTACTATTGTGTTACAGTGATGCGCGCGCATCTCGAAATTTCACTCACATGATTTTTTCATAACGCGCCCGCGGCCAACTTCATGCTGTTACTTTTGGGTTACAGTGATGCGCGCGCATCTAAAAATTTCACTCTCATCATTTTTTCATAACTCGCCTACAGAAGTATAACTTCAATAAAACTTTATAAATATTTTTTTTGTTTTTTTTTCATTAACCTCATTGTTTTTGGATGAAAAAAATATTATTAGTCTTTTTATGGGTCGCCATAAAAATATTAAAACAAATCATAAGTCTGTTGGTGGGTGGGGACAGTGCCCCTACAATTATACACATCCTCCTTTGCAGCGTGTTACTAATTTTTTTGACAATTTTATTAACAAAAAACACTTTTCACCCCTTTTCAACCATTTCCGTACACCCCAGAACGCGGCAAAATCACACGGTAAGTTATTTTACCTTCTTTAAAAACCCCTTACAATTTCATCGAGTTACTAATTACTTACGGGTTTGAGGCTTTAATGACTGGCCTATAACTGACGACCTCCGTGTCCGAGTGGTTTGTACGTCGGGTTTCATGGTGTTGCCGACTCGAGAGGTCCCGGGTTCGAATCCCGGTGGGGGGCAGATGTAAGTGTGATGAATACGAGCATTTGTACTCCAGTCATGGATGTTTAATATGTATTTCTATATAAATATACTTATATATGTACAGTATATGTATTCTATCCGTTACCCTAGCATCCCATAACACAAGCCTTACAGTGCTTACTTTGGGGCTAGGCTAATTGGTGTGAGACATATTTATTTATTTTATCTACTAATTACTTACGGGTTTGAGGCTTTAATGACTGGCCTATAACTCCACGCGTACGAAGTCGCGGGCGGCCGCTAGTAAAACATATTCCAACTCACCGGCTCCTTTTGTTTGGCTTCCTTCGATTTGGTCTCCTTCGGTTTATTATCTTTCTGTTTGTTCTCCTTCTGTTTTGGTTCGCGCGGTTGCGCGGGCGGCGCGTACGCTGCTCCCGTCTCCGTTTGATAGCGCGCCTTCAGTTCTAGCAGCTTCTTCACTTCCTCATCTATTTTCGCCTGTTAATTATATTTTGATCAATATTAATGAGGAACTGGCGAACAAAACGGTATAATTAATTGCACAAAAATTAATTTTACAGGAGCTGCATAAAACTGAATGTCATGCCTACAGTCAGCTTTGGCATGGTTTTTAATTTAATTTAGTAATTTTTAACACTGTAAAACAGGCGGTTTTGATATTTTATGATAGAAAATTATTTGTGATTCAAATTCAACGGGCCCGAAATCTCCGGACTGTAAAAAAGTAGTTGGACCATTCCCTGTAGCATGAGCACTACATTATACATTTTATCACATTTTTTTATCGTGTCTAACTGTCAAACTCCATAATAATTTGACAATTGAGCGTGATAAAAACGTGCTATATATTATATTGCGATGTTCATGCTAGGGGGGCAGATGCGTTATTATAATGTTTTGTTCTCCAGCTCCTCAAATGATCAGTACCCTTAGCACGAACTATTATCGAATTCGAATAGTTTGCGAGTGCGAAATGTCATTGTTAAAATTTGTATGGAAACTTGAACAGCAACGCCATAACGGACGTAACGAGAACAAAAAGTCAGTACACCAATTAACCCACGCAGATAAAATCGCGGGCATTCGCTAGTAATGTATTTTAAAAACGTTACCTTTTCAGCCTTCTTGGCCTTGAGGTCCCTGACGAGGTCCCCTTGCGCGGCGATCTGGGCCGCGAGTGCCGTCGCCTGGTCGCCCGCGCCGTTCATTGTAGGAACAGCTGCTGGTGGATTCTGAACAATATACATAAGAAATTTTAATAAGAAATAAGTCTACCAAGTTAAGAGGAGCATGATGGCGCAAGTGGTTAGCCGTTAGGCTGTGAACGTTGAAGTTAAGCAACTTTCGCAGTGGTCCGTCATTGGATGGGTGACCAAAAACTTACTATCTCGAGCTCGTCCGTGCTTGGGAAGGCACGACAGTCGTTAGCACCTGCCAATCCGCACTGGGCCTGCGTGGTGGGTCATGGCTCAATCTCCCTATTCCATCCATAGGAAAGGTCTGTGCCCTAGCAGTGGTGACATTAATAGGCCGATGATGATGATGAAGCCTATTAATATTAAGATGCTAGCATTTCACGTGTTTATACGTATTTGCTATTTCTTCGACGACCTCCGTGGACGAGTGGTTTTAACGCCGGGTTTCAAGGTGTAGCATACTCGAGAGGACCCGGGTTCGTGTCGCGGTTTAGACAGATCGTGACGTAATTTCTAAGTAAAAATTGAACTAAAACGTGACGTCATACGACATTTCAAATCAATATACAACTGTACATAATTATCAAAACAAATTTTGATTATGTGAAAAAAGAAAACAAAATACACGTCTAATACTACTACTTAAACTACCTGATAGACGAAGAAAAATGGTCACCATCCCCATTGCCGCTAAATTGCAAAATTTTATTAAAATAATCTAGTCTTTATCCATGTATTGAAAAAATCAAACCTTATACAAATATGAACACTATCGTCCTTATTAATAAATGAAGAATGAGCTTGGATAGGTAACTCCATGTTTTGTCTCTGTTCATTGAATTACAAATGGGATTTTAGTAATATGAACAAAACATGACGTAGCTAAGCTAAGCTCATTTCTCGTTTATTAATAAGGGGGTATATGTGAAAGTTTAACATAGTACACCTCACCTGAGATTTTTTGTTAGCGGCAGAGGGCGCTGCGTTCGGCGTCCAATCTTTGCCCGCGACCGACTTGTACTGCGCCTTCAACGACAGCAACGTTTTCACCTACCAATGCAATAGTTTAACAAAAAACCTTAGATTAAAACAAAAAAACGAGCGAACCTTACACGGTAGTAGCGTATGATGTGTAACATTTGAAACTTCACCTTATATTAGTAAAAAAAGAAATAAAGCCTACTACAAAAGGAATAAGCCACATGAACATTAAGTTCTAAAATCAAATCAAATAGCACGCGCTGGAAGGAAAGATGTTACACATCAAAAAGGGAAGATATGTCACTTGCGGCTCAAAAGTGATCAGCTTAAATTGTGATGCATGACCTCAATTTGCTTTTGTCACAATTGGATATTAAAACACGCTGCATGTGCACCTCAAAATAACAATATTGCGTATATTCAGTGATATAAAGATAAAACAATGCCTTCGATGCTTTTAGGAAGAACACGAATAAAACACTTTTCATTTGTTAAACTGTATAAATATTGTTTCTCAAAAATCACGGTTTATCGTGAATGTTATTTACATAATCGCCATTTTAATATCAAGAAAAAGACAACAGTACAGCCTAGCCGTAAGGACTGGGACGCAGCCTAGCCGTTTCGCTCGCTTGCGCTGTTGAAGCGTACTGTACCCCTAGCACGAACCAATATCGAATTCGTAACGTTTGCGAGTCCGAAATGTCATTGCCAAATGTGTACTGATTTTTCGTTCTCGTTACGTACTTTGTGCCGCTGCTGTTTAAGTTTCCATACAAAATTTGACATTGACATTTCGGTTTGCAAACTATTCGAATTCGATAATGGTTCGTGCTAGGGGTACTGTTGTGTCTCGCTCGCTCGATTGAATGTTTATTTACAGACATATTATGCCTGTGTGATAGTTTCTTATGAAGTTGAGTCGGAGTATATTTTATTTGGTGCTTGCATGAGCGTACCGTATCTTCCCTATTGTTTTAATCAAATCAATAAACAGAAAGAAACATCAATAGTACATTACTACAGCGACCAGCAAAAGAGTAAAAGATCTTTTCATTTTAATTACGCTACAGATATGAGTTTACTATGTAATTTATTTGACCGCTGATCAAGACAGGTATGGATTTTCATACGACTTTTGCCAGCCACTGTTCGCTTGTATGTGGCCAGTACAGCAACTTCGATTTATCTCGAAGAAGGTTGTTAAAATAATGTTTAAATTTCCAAGCATGTTTGAGAAATAGTAATTAAGCTTAAGATGCCTTGCAGCCTTAGGCTAAAGAAATTCCGACACGGCCATAAGGGCAGCGGTAGCATAATAGTCAATGCATTCGCCCGGATAGCGAATGGTGCGGGTTTGAATCCCGTCTGCTGCCTGGTACGCGTGAATTTCTTTTTCTAGTAATATTTTCTTTAGATTTAAAGGTAATTAATTTACCTCAGCGTCAACAGTCGCCTTGTCAGCCTTCTCGCCTTTGAGTTTGCGCACCTTTTCGCCCTGCGCCGCTATTTGTGCGGACAAAGCTTCTGCACTGGCGTTAGATTGTTGCAATGGAGCCACAGACCCTGGTTTCCAATCCTGAACAATGTACAGGAAACATTTGTAAAATATATATATTATTATACTAGTGGCCCGCTTCGCTTCGGTGTAAAGCTGTAGTTGTGAATTGGAACTGTTCTCACCTTTTAAACCTTGCCTAGACCTCCATAAACATTTCAAGACCAAGGTAAGATAAATCCATTCAGCCGTTCTCAAGTTTGAGCGAGACTAACGAACAGCAATTGTTTTTATATATATACGATCGACTACTAGATAATTATAACACAAACTTTGCAGAATTAGACATATTTGGGTTCACAAAATTAAAGTTTAAAAAAATGGCAATAGAAACATTATCAAATAGAACGGGTTGATGGAATTTGTTATCATACTTGTATCTGTACCGGTTCATCGCGGTTTTTCTTTAAAATTCTGTAGTGAGAAGGTAATAAACTTCTCCTTTCATCATTAATTTGTGGACATTGGTGTGGGTTGTACACTTACCTAATTAATATCTACATTATAATTTTATGTAATATTTAGTGTATAACTGTTCTATGTTCCTAATTATTAAAATAAAATAAATAAATAAATAAAGATTTGTGAATAGCACAAACAAATTACAAGTTATTTAAAACTGTTAAATTGCTCGCGTTGGCTTTGAGATATATTTTGCTCTCTACGTAGGTATATCTAAGATTCGAAATCTTTTAGGAAATTATCTAATTTAACAGATTTAGTAGCGACTCGATACGCAGATCTGTATAAGACTTCTATAATATTATAAAATAAATACCAATTTAAATCTAAAGAAAATTTTACTAGAAAAAATTATGGACTAAATGGTTTGCATTTACCACACATTTTAACCAACCAGAAATTATTTCTTTCTAGTAAAATTATCTCGAGATTTAAATATCTAGCAGTGAAATGTTTAAAATTAAAAATATTAATGTGAATCTTATTCAACACTAACGATTTCCTACCGGGCAATTTATTAAAGTGATGAATAATGAGAAATGTTGGGAACCTTTAAAATATCCGAATTTTTCAAAAACATAGTTTCTCTATACAGCATCTAATATGTACTAACAAACTAGTAAATTAAATAGAATGCCTACGATCGGCCAAATCAATTGTGATGTTCTCGATTGTTTATTTGGGATCGTAATTCATGCATAGGTACTTTTCATTCAGTTGTCCGTCATGTAAACATTAATTTGTTTGACATAATCATTTTTCACACAAACAAACAGCAATTAAAATACTTAAATTTATAAATAATTACCCGCGATACACTATAATCAACTGCCTCACTGCTTGAAAATTTGAAGTAGATAATTGAAAGTAGATTAAGCATTTACTATTTACTCAGTTGTTAACAATATAAAATCTGACGTGGAATAGTGTTGTGTTCTAACAATTCTTAAATAATAATGAATGAACAATGATATGTGTATTGATATAAAAGCTGATGGTCGGTCATTAAAGGCGAGAATTGCTTGAGATCTTTATAGATATTATAACTGAATTTCCTCACATTGTTGGTAAGTAATTCAAGAGGAAATAACCTTTATATGGTAAACCAGTACTTGTTAATACTAAAAGATAACTAATAGTAGCTGACTGTTTTATAATTCATATTTATTGCATTTACTGATAGTGTATAGAAATTTAATGTTTATTATCAGTTAGGGATTTTGGCGGTAACAATAATGTACGATTTACTGAATTACGTAAAAAATATTCGAGGTACTCGATGGCGCAAGTGGTTAGCGCGTTCGGCTGCGATCGTTGAAGTTAAGCAACTTTCGCAGTGGATGGTCATTGGATGGGTGACCAAAAATTTACTATCTTGAGCTCCTCCGTGCTTCGGAAGGCACGTTAAGCCGTTGGTCCCGGCTGCATCTGCAGTCGTTAGCACCCACCAATCCGCACAGGGCCCGCGTGGTGGGTCATGGCCCAATCTCCCCATTCCATCCATAGGGAAGGCCTGTTCACCAGCAGTGGGGACATTAATAGGCTGATGATGATGATTCGATAACAATCCACTACCTAAGTATTTATCTAGCACGAAAACGTTTTTAAGTGTTGATATTTGTCTTAATAAAATTAGTTGTCACAGCAATTTGTCAGCAGTAGTGTGTGTTCAATAGTACGATAGCTTTATTATAAACCAAGTAAATTGTTTTTATTTCATATTTGTGGATCCATTCAGAATCGATAAAAAAAAATTTCGATTTAAAAGCATATGTTTCCCATCTTATTTTAAACACAAGAAATAATACTTAAAGTGACTGAATAAACAATAACTCATATGCAGAAAGATAAAGAACATCACTAATATGTTGCGTATAATACAAAAGCAAAACAAACATAATAAATTATTAAATTACAATACATAAATAACGTCATTTCAGACATTCATCATTTGCTTACCCTATAAGTGATATGTAACAATGCTATGTATTAAAAGGTTGGAGAAGAAATAATACGATAAAATTAATGTTCATATAAATTATTTACCTGTCCTGTAGCTGTTTTATATTTGGCCTTGAGGTCTAATAAAACTTTGACGGCTTCGTCGACCTTGGCCTTTTCGGCCTTAGCGGCCTTCAAAGAGCGAACAAGGTCACCTTGCTTGGTGATTTGTTGGTCCAAATCTTGGCTGTTGGTGGTTGATTGGTTAGCTACTGGCGCCAGATTTGTGCCAGGTTTCCAATCCTACAATTATAATTATTCTTGCGTGAAAAAATCATTATAACCGTAACGAAGGTATCATTTTGGATAAAGCCTTCAGTATATTTAACTGAATTCATTATAATGAGATGACAACCGTGACTCGAGTGGTATTTACACCGGTTTTCAAGGTGTTGCGTACTCAGAGGTCCCGGGTTCATATCCCATTGGGACAAATGTTAGCATTTGTACTTAAGTCATGAATCTAATATAAAAAAATCTCGTGTCACGGTGTGCGTAATTGAACTGCTCCGAAACGGCTCGACTGATTTTCGTGTTTAATATGCATATTCAGTAGGTCTGAGAATCAGACAACTTCTACTTTTCATCCCCCTAAACGTTAAGGGTGCTCCACCTTCAAATTTTTTTGGACATTTTTTTGTTTTTGTTTATGATATATATATCATACAAAAATACAAACAACCCTAAATTTGGGACAGCTAGTGTTTATATATATCTCTAGATTGTTATATATGTATCAGTGAATGTATTCTATCCTTTACCCTAGTATCTAATAACACAAGCCTTACAGTACTGTGTGTTGAAAAAAGAAGAAAAAAAAGCTAACCTGTCCAGTGGCAGCCTTATACTTGGCTTTCAAGTCGAGTAAGGCCTTAACGGCCTCGTCGACTTTAGCCTTCTCGGCCTTGGCAGCCTTCAGTGAGCGGACGAGGTCGCCTTGCTTGACGATCTGTTGGTCTAATTCGTTGTTGCCTGTCGACGTTGTTGTTGTTGCTGGTGGTGCCACTCCTGGCTTCCAGTCCTTGGAATGGAAATAACGGTCATTTACTAACATTATTGTTATTTTAAATATATAATTGACGTGTTTCATTTAATATTTTCTTATATTAAAAACACGTCAATTTACGTAGGCTCATAATCATCAGCCTACTGCTGGGGCTCAAGCCTACCCTATGGATAGAACATAGATATTCCGCCGTGAGCGTGACCCACCACGCGGGCCTAGTGCGGATTGGTGGGTGCTAACGACTGCAAATGCAGCCGGCACCAACGGCTTAACGCGTGCCTTCCGAAGCATGGAGGAGCTCGAGACAATATTTCTTGGTCCACCCCTCCAATGACCGACCATTGCGAAAGTAAGCAACACTGCCAAGATCGCAGGCAGAAGGCGCAAACCACCTGTGCCATCGAGCTCCTATGAAGTAGGTTAAAATAATTTAATTAAAAAAGAAAATCTTTATTAGTAAGAGTTTGAACACTTTAGATGCAATCTAGCTGAGGCCCAAACACAAATTTCCACTTTAACAGCTCCTTAATCATATCGTCATCAACTTACTAATTTTGTATGGAAGAAGTTAGTTTGTTCTTATGTCCGTAAGGGCGCTGCTTGGTTCTCATAGACACTGCGATTAGGGAGCTGTCAAAATTAGTGCTTGGACCTGTGATCTATCCATATCAGCTGAGAAAGTAAAAGACAGAAAACCGTTTTCTTGCTTATTTTCTACAAAATAAAAAATTAGTTCTGTGCGTAATGAAAACCATGAACTTCTACAGTGTTAAAAAATGTGGAATATTTATATATATTTTTTTTAGCTCACCTTTCCTGTGGCAGCTTTGTACTTGGCTTTGAGTTCCAATAGGGTCTTCACGGCCTCGTCAACCTTAGCCTTTTCGGCCTTCGCTGCCTTCAGCAAGCGGACGAGGTCGCCCTGCTTGGTGATCTGTTGGTCTAGGTCTTGATAGTTGCCTGATGGGATCGCCGCTGATGGAGTTGCCGTAGGAGTCACACCAGGCTTCCAGTCCTACAAACAAGGAGATGTTTGATCAGAAAGATTTGATGGCAAAAGCCCTACATATATTTCTTTATGTCGGACTGTTGTTTCCCCTGATGGCTCCCCCTAGGGGAGACATCACGATTTCTATAGTACTGATTTATCCCCAAGGCTGTGGTGTCATCTGCCGCCCTATTCGCAAACTTATTTGACATTAACAGTGTGTAAGTAAAGACAAAATTTGCTTATCCATCGATGCTTTTCAGAACAAATATCTTAGTGGCGTTACAATAAAGTAGAAGTGGATTACTAAATAGTTTGGTGATTATCACTTTCATCTGTCAAAAGTAGCTGACGAATATGCCTACAGGACTATAGTTACAATTTTAAAAGAAAGTTCTGACGCTCCCCAACCTAGGGGAGACATCAATATATATATATATCAATATAGACATCCCCCTAGAGAGACAGCAGTCCAACATCCTTTTTTTCCAAGAGCTTATTTTCGAATAATATTTTTTGCAAAATGCCTATTACGTTATACAAATATAGAATAATGTATATGTATAAGGTATGGCTGACACGCTGACACGACAGTTATTCCGCTCGTAAATCCTTTGAGAAAAAGAGACATTGATTTATCTAGTTTGCTTATTTTCTAGACCAAGTTTAAGTTATAATAATTTAAAAGTAAGCTCTGAATGCGAAATATGAAATCACTAAAGAGCATACTTAGGCTCCTTAGTGATTTTAAATTCATATATCATACCTATACTTATTACGAATTTGTGTAAGGGATTTGCACATCTCCTTGGTATTGGTAACGCACAATCGTTCGTTGCATTCAAGAACTTGTTCTCTTATTGGTCTGTGCATTCAAGTTTAAAATCTCTCGCCTACTAACTGTTCTAAATAATAACTTCACTTCTATGTTACATTTTACACCCACCTGTCCAGTGGCAGCCTTATATTTTGCTTTTAGGTCCAAAAGGACTTTGACGGCTTCGTCGACTTTGGCTTTTTCGGCTTTCGCAGTCTTGAGAGACCGCACGAGGTCTCCCTGGGCAGTAATCTGGGAGTTGAGCGCCGCGGCATCAGATGAGGGCGCGGGTGCTGCAGCAGGCTGTTTGTTTTGTACACTAGTGGCTTGTTTCGGCTGCAAAAAAAATAAAAATGGCAAGTTTGTAAAAGTACCTAGATAAGATTTTTTTTATGCAACATTTTTTTATCCGGTGGGGTATTTAAAAATCTGACGCCCCAAGACCATGAAGATTTGCACTACAAAAATAAAGATCCTTACTAATATTATAAATGCGAATGTGAGTTTGTTTGTTACGGTTTTACGCTTTAACCGTTGAATCGATTAAGTTTCATAAATTTTAGTATACAGGTTGGTATGGTACTTATAGGTTCACACTTATTCACATTTATAATATTAGAAGGATGTGACAGTTTGTATGTTTGTTACTCAATCATGCAAAATGGATTTGGATGAAAGGCATCCACTAGTAAGTCATAAATTTACATAATAGGTAGGTATGTGCTTAACTAATTCTTTGCGTTTTTTTAAGAATCTGTCATAATGATAATTTCGACATTTCAATCTTATGAAAATAATAAATAAATTTAAAACTTTTTAAGCATTAATTGCTAGATGTAGATAATGTTTTATTATATTCAAATTCTGTCCAGGGAGGTACCATTTAATCGAAATTAATTATATTAAAAGCGATACGACACGTGCATGTATCATAATTTCTGTGAATTCGCACAGTGAAGTGAAGGCTGTTAGGTCAAATCCATCTTAGTACTTAAACAAAAACATTATACAATTTGAAAACAAACTTAATGGAAACTATCGATGATGTGAAATATTTACATCTTTCAATCTAAAGAAAATTTTACTAGGAAAAATTCCACGCGGACCAGCCAACTCGAACCCGCACCCTCTGCTATCCGGGCGGATGAACTGACCAATTATGCTACCGCTAGTACCGCGACCTTAATGCCCGTGTCAAATTTCTTCTAGTACTTCTTAGGCTGCAAGGCAATTGACTAACATACATCTTATTTAAAGTTATCGAGCAAAAAAATTACAAAATTCTTATCACCATACGCGGACAAAATATTATCTACAAGTTGCCAAAGAAATTTATTACGTTGCAAGTAGGTCAAACAAAAACAGTTCAAAATAAACACATCGACAATGCATCAAAGAGCATTTTATGCTTAATTTTCACGGTGCAAGTGTAAAGAAGGCCACTCACCTTTAAAATAATGCCAACTCTGCCAAAGAGACACGTGTACCTTAAGCTACAATACGCATGGTTACTAAAGTCGTGTCGTGATGTGTTGCCGCTCTTTTACTTTCTAAAACGTACGTACTCGCAATGGGCAGCCTTAAACATTGCTGTCTTTCTATAGCACGAGTGAAAGTTATTATATTCAGAGCCAGAGTTGAACATCGAGTACAGTGAAGCTGTACGATCTATAACCGTTTACAATTATGTAAATGCAATACAATAAGAGTAAAGGCGAATTCGACACGATGCAATTGAGCTTATTTGATATTATACACTCAGAACAGTAAAAAATTAGGTGCAAATTCGCTGTTGCAGCCGCAGTTAAATTTTAATTTGTATGCATTCGTTTCAATCAATAGCAGATAACAATTTTGTAATATGAAATGTACTTAGGTAAGTACCTACTAATGTTTTTGTTAGAGATCGATCTAAACCTTCTTAGATTAAGATTTTACTAATTTTAGGGTTCCGTACTTTAATAGGAAAAAACGGAACCCTTATAGGATCACTTTGTTGTCCGTCCGTCCGTCCGTCTCCGTCCGTCTGTCAAGTACGTTTTTCTCAGGAACGCGTGGAGGTATCAAACTGAAATTCATATCTAATACTCAGGTCTACTGTCCCTTAGAGCTGTGAAAAAATCAAACTTCTAAGCTAAAGCAATCAAAAGATACAGCCGTTTATGCCGCAAATTTCCGCAAATTTTCGAAACTCGCACGGGAATCAAAACCTACAGGATACTTCCCGTGAACTTAGAATCTAGAAATTTGGTACGAAGTAACGTCTTATAGTACAGATAAAGGAAAAATTGCGAAAACTGTAAATTTTAGTAACATCATATAATAAAAAATATTCGTGAAAATTTTAAAGTTACTACCTCTTTTCTCATGAACGCATAGAGGTAATTAATTGAGATATTCAAGTTTCCACTTCTGCCGGCACTCCCGGTGTGCAACCCGTCGTTATTTTTTAAATCATAATCTAGGTCATAAAATATATGCGTACTAAATTCATTAAGCGGTTTTTGCGTGATTGAGAAACAACAGCTGCAACATACAATCACGGAAAAACATCCAGTTTTTAATTATACACAATACAATACAATACAATACAAAACTCTTTATTTTTACACCACAGAAAACATAAAACATGAAGTACATAATTAAAGAATACAGTGTAATAATGGGCGGTCTTATCGCTAAGAGCGATCTCTTCCAGACAACCTTAGGATGGAGAGGACAGGAAAGAAGCTGGAGAGACGGCGGTGTAATTACTACAAAACAATATAAAATCATTCTAACAAATATAATCAAAATAAGTATATAAAACAATACATACATATAATTATATACCTACAAGAATACATACATAGTCATATACATAAATATATATACATACATATATATAAATATATACACAAATACATACATACCTATGTCTAATTCATTCAGCTTAGATCAACAAAAATGGAAGGGTTACAAGGACATATAGTGAGATCTAACAAGGTTTTTGAAAATGTGGAGTGATTTTGCACGTCTTATGGAAACTGGAAGAGCATTCCATAGACGAACGGCTTGTACTGCGAAAGAACGGCCATAAAAAGTTGTAGAGTGAACAGGAGTAATGAGAGCGAGATTTTCTGATGACCTAAGGGACAATGTGTTCGAAGTGTGAAGGAAATTAAAACATTCCTTAAGATAGCGTGGGGACAAAGGATTGAACAGTATGTTATACAGAAGAGTAAGGATGTGCGTATTCCGGCGAAGGCGAATAGGTAGCCACTTGAGCTGTAAACGAAATTGAGATACATGATCATATTTGCGCAGGCCAAATATGAATCGAATACAGAAGTTCTGAAGCCGCTCAAGTTTATCAAGCTGGTCCTCCGTGAGATCTAGATAGCAGACGTCAGCATAATCGAGAATAGGAAGCAACAGAGTCTGTGCTAGGGAAATTTTGGTGGTAGTGGGTAGAAAATTGCGTAGTCTCCTCAGCGAAGCTGCAGAAGCAAACAGTTTACGGCTGAGCACTTGCATCTGGGGACACCAACTCATACAATTGTCAATGGTTAACCCTAAGTTTTTTACTGAGATGCTGAATGGAATGGTGGTGCCAGCGAGATGAATTTTGGGGAGTGATTGCCAGTCAACTTTGGCGATCATCCTGGAGCTTCCAACAATAATACTGTTTGATTTAGCCGTATTTACCTCCAGCCCAAAAGATTTACTCCACTCCAATATTTTATCCAAATCACTGTTTGTGGCTAGCACTGCATCACCAAGTTGATCAATGGGCGCTTGTTGATAAATTTGAAGGTCATCTGCGTATAGGTGGTAGGAAGAAGCAATATTATTTGAGACATATAATTATCGTCGTACAATAATAATAATAATAATAATAATAATAAACATTTATTTCGGACAAGTAGGCTTGTTGAAAATATATCGATGTATCGATATATCGATATTTTTTGTTCGATATATCGATATTTTTTGCCGATATATTTTGATTCGATATATCGATACATCGATACAAAATAACCAATATCGAAATTCGTATCAAAAACGATATTTTTTTTAATTATTAGCGGCATATCACGATCTAACTAAATTCGTATCTGGAAAAATCGTAACTGGATCTCAGATTAATGATATTCAATATATCTATGATCTGTGCTGTATTTAGTATTGTCTATGTCATCATTGGAAAATAGGGTCTATTTTTAGGGAGAAAATTTTCGTTCCATTATTATTCCGCGTGTCATATTACGTGAGCTCGTACGTTCGTGTACGATATTTTTGGGAAAATTGGTCCGATATATCGATATATCGATGTTTTTTTCGCGATATATCGAAGCCGATATTGATATTTTTTAAAATATCCATGTATCGATATATCGATATTTTTTTCAACTTTCGACATCCCTACGGACAAGGATACATCCATATTATGGTTAGTTACATGATTACTTATTATCTAGTGTTAGAATCGAAATTTAATTACTTACATACGAAACTTTTTCCCGTTATACACTTTTGGATACAATAAGCTATAATAGGGGAATCATATCGACCCCCTATAACTTGCAGAATGGAGTTGGAGCTGGCCCGAACCCTGCAAAGCAACGAAGCGGCTCTCTTCCGCATGATGGCATAAAAATCATCAATTTGCATCTGCGCAAACATGCCTGATGCACTGCAGAAACGGGGCAGCCGCAACAACACTCTGAGAGCATAATTATATTGAATACAGCGTACAGCTTTATTATTTATTTTTACCCGACTGCGCAATGCAAGAGCGTGAAGCGTGACGCGCAGAGGGTATATTGTTTAACAGTCTATATGTGTATGTATGTCCCTTTTTAACTTCATTATTTGTTTTGATAGCGGCTACAGACAGTAACACGCGCTCTGCGAGAATTTCAGTGTCTTCCTTCGATATCTAAGGTGTCTACATATTTCTGTTTAGGACAATCACACGTTCCGTTTGTCGCACACGTTGTTGTCCTTGTGGATTTTTGAGGGTTTATTATTGACTATGGCATCTTAAAAGCTAATTTCTAAAACCGAGACAAATCCGGTCACTTCCGATACGGTTGGTAAACCTATTTCTTATTAGCCAAGTACCAAAGTGCGTGAATATTTTATAACACGTTACCATGACTTTTTTTTAATAAGACGTCCATATAATCTACCCTTATTAGTTCACACTTGTATAGCGTTATCATGTTAAAAAAATACCTATAGTTTGGACGTACAACCATAAGTAAAGCACGAATGCCTCTTCTTATCAACTTTAAACTTCCGTTGCGTAAGTATAATGATGCATAATCACATTCCTCACTAACTATTTCAAA